TTGATTAAGTCAGTGTTGCAGCTCCTACTCCATTGGTTCGACCATAAACTATTAGCTGGAGATATCAACACTTCATCCTCAAATCTTAGCAAGCAGTGTAAAACAGCCAACATTTGGTTCCAAAGGCAATTTGTCACAGCCATTAGAAGTTCTGGACTGACTGAGCATGTGTACAATGCTACAAGGTAGAATGTACATTGAAAACCACCAAACTTAGATTATTCGTTGACAGATCTTCTCACAGCTGACGATAGCTACGTCTACAAAGCAATAGGAAATAACAACCATGTCGAAATCATGTTTACCATGGTCACAAACAAAACACTCAGAAGGTATGTAAATGGTGTACACCTCTGCTGCACTAGGGTAAACTAAACGTGTTTGAGGTAGCATCTTCTAAACTCCCACGGTTACGAGTATGGTGGATGCTAACAGTAGAGGATCATTGGTAAACAATTCAAGACATCATTCAGATTGTCGTCACATGTAATGTACCTCCAGCAAATTACGCACCTGGAAATGGGAGAACATAGGTCAAGTAAAGCATGAAAAAAAGAAGGGTGAGGTAGAAGTCCCTTTGAGGGATTTTGGCTGTAGTTCTTACTTCACATTAGGAAACAGGTGCAGTATCAGAGTGTGAAGCGAAAGGAGACACTCCTAGCAGCAAAAATACTGGAAAACCAAAAATGTTTCTTCAGGTTCATGGCACTACGGTGTTCATGTTCTCGGGGGTCTGAATGGGGATGATCTCACTAGCTTAGAGATGGCTGAGATTTTTAATTCCAATTTTATGCAAGAATTAAGCCAGATACTTACAAGCTGAGAGCACTACTTATCTCCGGTATCAACTCAAACACCATGAGCGGTGCGGCTAAGGCTAACAATACAATATTTTACCCATGCATAATCATCCAAATGCGACCACAGACTCCTCAGTGGATAGCTTCAAGAAGAGACTTGACAAACAATGACTTAAATACGGGTTATCACCTCTGCTTGCATCAGCTGTACTTGATGCATGTCTAGAAACTAGCTTGTTGTTAACACTCTCGTTTGCCCAGATCACTAACTTGATCTATCTCGCCTATTATCTCTGTTTTCTCGCCCTTGCATACACTCTAGTCCTCTCAAATATTCTTGTCCACTGATTAGTTAACTTTTTTTTATCAATTTATATACTTAGATCTGCAATCTCATTAGCATTAGACTTTTCACCCTATTATTCGCCATATCGCGACGATATGATCTCCAACCTGGTTACACGATAGCTGCTGTTATCCAAAACTCTGCTTACCTGAAACTAACTTATTCATTCAAATCACGGGACGTACGCATTTATAAATAACTTCCAAATGACTCGAATCAGTGCAGTCAAGTGTCTAGCCTCCATCCATTGGACACTGCCAGATATCTGGAACCGTACCGAAAGAACAAGAATCGAGCGAAAAGAAATCAAATGGTTTGTACTATCTCGTAAAAAAGATATTGGATGTTGGAACATCATAAATAATAGTGGAAATCCGAACACACTCACTTTAAAATTCCTGCTGTATAGAAATCTTATACAGTTACATTCCGTTACTAAGAAACCTTCTTTCCAAAAAAGATAATCACAGAGGAATCAGTTTAACTAATATGGTGTCTAAATTATTAGCCTCGATAATCCTTAGACGCATAACTAGAGCTTGTAAAGAGCAGACGAAAGAAAACCAGGCTGTTTTTTGACCTAAACGTGGCTGTATAGAATACATATCCACACTACGCCAGGTTCTAGAACATAGACACTTGTTCAAACGTCCGATAGTAGTTGTATTTCACCACCTTAAGGCTGCACTTGACTCTCTAGTCCGTGAGGGTTTACGGCAGTGTCTGTCAGTAGAAGGAGTTCCTGAGAAGTACATTGACCTTATACAGGCTCCCTACTCGAACACTAATGACCGAGTTAGAGCTTATGGCGAACTCTCTTCGTATCTGATTACTTCGAATGGTGCTCATCAGGGTTGTTCACGTACACCATTCTTATTCAACTTTAGCATCTACATGCTTTTGGAGACGACACCTTCATAGACTGAATTTTCAGGAGATGAACTTTTACCTTGAGAAAACGGCCTGTGAGGTTTAATTGGAAACACTGTTGTTCACTTCGTTTATATAAGTTGTACAAATTCATATACAATAAGAGAATATGCATTTTTGAAGACTAACGCCGATCCCAAGCCCGGATAAAGGAGGGGGGTTGGGTTTTCAGTTAACGACCCCATCCCATGGAAAACTAACTAGCTAAAAAAACGCTAACCAGAAAAATTAATTGAAACTATTTAAACTCTGCCCTGAGAGTTAGAAGCCCTTCCTTCAGAAAAGTTATGACGTCTCGTGATGAAAGCCAAGTTTCTTCGAAAGAATCATCCAAGTTGCAGCAGAAATGAAAAGATACAACCTGGGGATGCTTAGAATCATTGAAACGCAGGTTTGACAACTAAGACTAGCTGTTATACTTCGGCCATGAACAACAAGATGCCTCATTCCCACAAGGAATTGCACTGATGCTGTCCAAACTAGAACAAAAGGCACTTTTAGAATGGGAATCTCATAAACTCAGAATCATCAAATCATCCTTCGAAACAAAAAAAGAGGGCGTTACAATAGACGTCATCCAATGCTATGCAACTGCAAACGACTACAATGAGGACGTTAAAGACCGATTCTATGCAGTCAATCGTCGAAAGATGCTCACCAAATGATTTGACCATTTTGATGGGAGACCTAAATGCCAAGATTGGCATGGACAACACTGGATAGGAAGATATGATGGGACGACGTGGACTGGAGAAAGGAATGAAAATGGTGAGATTTGCAAACACATGTGCCTTCAAGAAACTAAGCATCGGTGGCAAGGTATTCCCACACAAACGCATACACAAAGCTACATGGATTTCACCGGATCACACCACTCAGAACCAAATCGACCATATTTATGTCAATAAAACGTTCAGAAGGACCATGGAGGACGTGAGAATCAAGAGAGGAGCTGATATAGCCTCAGACCAACACTTGCTGATCGCCAAAACAAAACTGAAACCCAACGGGGCAGACAACAAACATCACAGAAGTCAAATACGGCATTTCTTCGGGATACTGACAAAGTCAAAGAATTCAAGATAACCATCACCAATAGGTTCCAGGCTTTGCACGATCTACTCAGTGCAGAGGAAACAGCCATAGAGAACAACTGGGAGGGGATCAAGGAAGCAATCACTTCAGCAGGTTCTAGGCTACAAGAAGAATAATCAGAAGCATAATCTCTGTTGGTACCCTTGAAAAAATTCAAGGAAGGAGGCGCAAGAAGGCAATACTCAATATCAGCCTGAAAGAGTCATTATCAAGTTGTATCTTAAGCCTATAATTTGTATCGAGTAATATAATTCATTGGAGAATGGATGTTAGGAATATGTCGGACCAGGAGAGACTCTTTCTAACTTTATGAAACGAACAAGGATGACAGTTTTATTACCTTTGATGGTGGAAATATTCTGAATCACAGTCACCAACAGTCAAATTTTTTTTTAAAATGGTAAACCTACACAATGTTCATTTCCTTGTTGAAAAAGAAAGACTGGTAAAACGTTAGGATATATTTACCGGTAGTTTATATAAAATAATTAACGGACAAAATCCTGTAGTTCGGTTCTCAATAACTTTAGAAAATACACGGTGACTTCTTTCTCCACAGTGATCAAGCTAAAGTAGAGATAACTTTCATATAAATCTCATGATTATAAGTGAATTTCACCGAAGACACTCAGATGAAAAAATGAAGTTTGACTTTCCAGTTTACTCCTGATGATTGTATCAAACAAAATATTTTGTATGGATGTTAATTTCAGCGTTGACTCATCTGGTGGAATAGTAAAAACGCCGTTTCAATATCAAGACACATGCTCCGCTATCTCAACTATTTTCGAGCAATGGATTATTTTATGGCAAGCTAAACTAATCCCAATGTTACCAAGAAGATGTTTACAAAAAAACATTTTCAGTGAACCAAGACGTTTATTAAGCAAATAAAAGAACAACACAAAACTGTTTACATCCTCTGTGGTCCCATAGGTGCCGTACTTTGACACTTCGCAATACCTGTTTTCCACAATTCCTTAATAGACACAAGGTCTGAACTCCGGTATTTTGTGTACTGTTGATCATCAGCTTGAAGATTATTTGATCTAAACGGACCACTTGACCATTCATCATGATCATGGTTACTTTGTGATGACATTGGTTTTTTTGAAGAGAAATCAGCTATAGTGTTTTGGAAATATTTTAATTTCAGATCACGTTCCCCACCAACTTTATGTCTGTGAGTTAATAAAACATTATAGAATAAAAAGTGGTTTGATTAAATTGCATACTTTCTGACGTTAGCATATAAACAAATAACTAAAGTAACCATGGCTATGTGGAATTCCGTTCTTTTGAAAAAATTCCACAATTGTTGAGGTACAACTGAAAAAGTGGACAACCCCTTTAAATAATTTACCAGTTACATATTGTTGTTCTCTGATCAGCTTAAAGAAATTTCGTAGAAGTTTTGAAGATTGAACGGAACTCAACCTCATTACGTTCTTAAAGTTAAACCAATGTTAACAGAATGTCAATGTTTGTTGACAAATTTGTAGCTTATAGAATGTTGAATATTTAACGTACGTGGTAATTTTAGCCATTTTCACAATCAGTATGAAATATGAACTGATAGATATTGATGTTTTTCTGATTATAAAATGGATATTAAAAGGGAAAGCGATTGTTTAGATGAAATGCGATAATTATCTGAAATAAATAAGTAGAGTGTAAAAACAAAGCAAATTCTGCTCAGATTCACGGTTACGTAGGATACATTATTTGTTATGAACACATTGTCCAATTCTTCTTTCTAACCAATATGAGATGAAGCTAAATGTCATTATGATAAAGACCAAACAAAGTTTAATTTCGAAGATACTCATTATCATCAGCAAATCTTATTTCTATTAATTTTTAGTTAGATTTATGATAAATGGAGGGTTTAGTTATTCGATTTGAATAACCGCGAAATCACAAAGGATTAAAAGACTAAGAAAGCGAACAATATTTGGATTTTATGCTGGTCAGGACTTATATGGAATAATACTCTCAGGAATATCCATAAGATAGCTAATGCCTAATGATGTACAGAATAATCTGACTTTAGCTGATACATATTCAAGCACTCATTCACACATTATTACATAGGTAGTTATTTTATGACTAGTGCAAAATAAATCTCCATTTCTTAGTACGAATTACAGAGAATAAAAGTTCGATTCCAAGATGTCGGTATCCTTAAACCTTAATATTAATTTTCATCATTATGATTACTGCAGTTTTCGATAGTAAAATTTGTAAAAACATGCATTAAAAGAATATGAAGGGAAATGCTGCAAACAGTTTTGAAGATTAAGATTTATTTTGCTTATCATCAAAGCTGCAATTGAATACATTATGATAAACTCTTGAGATTTAAAGTTTAGTCTTCACAAAGGAAGTAGTAATATTTTATTTGTTCCGAAAGCAATCACCTTCATGAGTGATATAGGATTTGAGAATTTTCACATCATTAACTGCTGTTATGTGCTGTTATATAATAAGAAATATTTAAATGTCGGATGATCATCTAAGTATTTATACAAAGCTTATGGTGTTTAAAGTGTGCCATACATGACACAGAATATGTTTAACAGAATACAGTACTTTATAATTAATAAATAATCCACTAATTATGGTCGATAAACTTAACAGTGGATCATTAATTGTACACAACGGAGATCTGTTTGTTTGTTTATGAGTCTTCCAAACAGACTTATCATTCATTTGTATTATAAAATAGTTATAATTTACGTTTTAATACTGGTACATGAATGACATGTTAATACTGCTTATCTCCTGTGTATGACTAGTTTTATAAGGAAACAATAAAAACTAATAATCTCTTACCTGGTAGTGGTAACTCTGGTCGCATTATATAAAACAGTTCCAAGACGTTGTTTCTTTGACGGTGGAATATAAGTGAAATACACTTTAATACCTTGAATTAATTTAACATTATGCGTTCCTGGTGTAGGACAAATGAATTCTTTATATAAATCTTGATTTATTTTTTGCCAACATGAACTTCCATGCTCTTTTGTATTATTTTGATAATAAATAGTTTGTTTAAATTCAATGTATTTTTTTCTACCATAAGTATAAAATGCCAATGTAACTGATTCATTTGCATTGATGTGTTTTAAACGTATAATCTGATCTAAGCATAATAAATGAAACCATTTTGTTTGTGAACGATTTGAATTATCTTCTAAAAATATTTCCACATTATGAAAATAATGATTAGTAATTAAATTTAAGAAGGAACTATGCGTTGTATCTTGTTCATTGATATGAGACCATTGTAAATAATAATTAGGATATGGTTGAACAAATTGGAAACTGAACATTGTACAGATTAAAATAATTAAACAGAAGAAACTTGTGACTAGCATGACTCGTATTAATGCCCAATAATTTTGTTTCCAAATTAGATTTTCTTCTAAATCATTCGAAGTTTTATTGAATTCTTTGTCACATTTATGACTGTGTAGTAGATATTGACTTTCTCGCATTGTACTAGTTGTTGATTTACTAATGTAAGAGTCATTTGATTTCTGGTGAATATATGAAATTAAACAAATTGATAAACGTAGACAAATAAATATGATGGTGAAGATTCCTTTTGTCAGAAAACCAATTGAAGTGATAGATTCTTGACATGCACATGTATAAGTATAAATAATACTTAGAGGAATTTCAGCTAACAAAGTGTTGACTATAGTTATGCAATCAATAAGAAGCCATAATTTAAATTTCTTTTTCAAAATATTAATCCACAAAAGTAGTTCTAATAAGCTTAGAGTTAATTCAATAATATTGAACAGAATTAAACAACCTATGAGAACTCTTGAAATTTTATCATATACTAGCCCAGGACTTAGTTCATTTAAATCATTCACAATTATCCAACTGGAAAATGAATTCGCCAATAACATTATAAATGTTATACAAATATGTAATGTAAGCATCCATGGTTGTTTAAGATATTTTGTTACAATAGAGGATTGTTTATATTTCTGATTATCAGTGGTAATTGACATGGTCCAGTTTCCGTTGATTATTGAAAATTGCTAACTTTTTCCAGTCAATAACGGATAATATCTTAAATTGACTACATGTTTTATAATGAACACTATTCATACAAGTATTATATCAAAATAGATTACAAGAAAATGCATAGAATATATGAGCAGTAATCCAGCTATTTATGAGAACAGCTTAATCGATTATTTCACATTGATTAGATTTTCGCATAATTCAAGTTAGGATTAGAATGAAAATGTAGTAGTGAAGAGAAATTCAACATTGAACTAATTCTCTACATACATTCTTCTTATTATTCAATAGAAAAATAATTATGGGCTTTTTTCATCTGACCGAAGAATTGTCAAACATAGAATTAGAAGTATGTGGAAATGAAAAACTTACAACAACAACATTATTAGCCTTAAAATTGATAAATTTTGCAACTTTAGTAAAGCAGCTGTTTACTCGTTAAAATTTATCCATCATAGGAATTATTTATTCGTACGAGTAATTAAGGGTGGAACAGTTCAAAATTGATTCATGCACTTTCAACTAATAACACTGTCATTTTGTAAATATATATTTATTTATGTATACAGATTTCAGTAAAAAAAAATGGAAATCTCATTTAAAATTTTTATTTTTGTTTCCACTATATTATCTATCATCAAAACTGATCATTATACTGTAAATAAAATTATGCTGAATAATACTGAAAAAGTCAGATCAATAGTTTATAACTTCGCAATAAATTATTGTTATTCTCGAGTTTGATTCAGTTATAACATATTTACGCTTCTTAAATTTTTGACCCGATTGTTGCGAAAATGAAATAGCAGGCAATGATCAGCCTTTTTTTGATGTCAAAACACAATGAATATTTATTCATGATTTAGGGACTTGAAATGCAGCATGCCTAGACTCATCCTACCCTATATAATTCACATGAGAATGGACAGGTAAATGGTAGATTAATCTATAAATCAGATAGTTTTGCAAGTCTTTGGCATTAATGCTAACTTTAATAATTTTGCTGGACACTTCGCTAGCTGAAAATTTTCGCTCAAGCGTCTTCATTAATTCATGTTTCAGTATGGGCATTGGTGAGCTTAGATTTCGCACTTTAGTAAGCTGACCTTTAGTAGAAATACAGGTTTATATCTCATCATTAACGAATTTGAATCAGCAAAGAAACAGTGTCGTAGTCTGTTTACCATTTATCAGTTAGTAGCTTATAGATAAAATTTCCAAAGGTCTAGTGACAAATTTGAAATGTTTTCAGTTCAAAACAAACTGTAGATATGATCTGTACCTTAATTATTCATTGTCCACTAACCGAAATTTGTCTGATTAGTATTAGCCACCGAATATTCAACAGGATGTTTACAAATTGACGCCTAGAGGACCAGCAGAAACTAGAATGTTAGTTCTACAGCACTGTCATCATGATGGCTTGAGCTTATCTTTTAGAATGACTGCTATTTATCAGGAGTAAGAAAGATGGAAGTGACTCTGTCAGATAAATCTCTGCTTATTATCTGTCCAGTTTAGAACTCAACATAAAAATCCTCCTAGAATAATTACACTCCTAACCTGACTAATGTAGTTAATAAGATCGTTGGATGAATGGAGCTAGGAAAAGTTAAACCAGAGAAACATTGGAAGAATTCTGTATGTGTACAATTCTGTGAGATGTTTGTCTTTGTTGGAAATTGTACTACAACTATATTGCTTGACATGAAATTGAATTTTAGACCTTCGATTTAAAAGTTAGTTACTCTGTCAATGTGTAAATATACTACACAGTGGACTGCTCTGTGTTACATCAAGACTGAAAAATTAGGATCCTGAAGATAAAAGACACGTATAGATAGCAAGTATTTGTCCAACATCCCTCGCGTATAGCAGAATCTCTATGATAGTAATGCTGATGTTAAGTTAGATACGATGTGACTGTGAATATAATCGATATATATAAGTTATTGAGATTATGTAAAGCGTACTAACTAATTCCCATACTAACAAGACTTTGTGCGTAGCACAGGAATGAGTTCACAAAAGGCTAGAACTGATCACATCAACAAGATAAATTATTAATTTATGAAGTACTCTGTACGACAGAAATCTTAGTTGGAATCTGAACGATAATTGTGAGCTATGGCTAGAACGTTTAGGTGATATAGTTTCTAGTTGACTACTACAGTGTCATTGACGCATTTCTTAAATCAAACCTCAGTGCTTCAGCAAAAATGTTACCAATTTGGATTGTAGTAGCCCATATTTTCTAATGAAGTAAAAAAAATTGTTCAAAAAATATCATGTCATAAAATGATTGAAGCTAGAAATGCAACTACTTATTAGAATGACAATCGAACTGATCTAAACGGTTAAGCGTTCGCAGTAAAAATATGAACAGTGTAAATCATTTTTTCATTAGGTCCCTATAGTAGAATGATATTATTATTCAGATATACCTAGTTTTTTAAAATTTGTATAATTAAGATTAGTTCATGATGTTTATTATACGATATCAATGAACTATGATCAAATGTTATTACTGAGTATTTATCATCATAGAAAATACTTTTGTCGGTATAATGTTATTCTTACAATAATCATATCAAAATGTTTGTCAGTTGAAAATTCCAAGAAACATTGAAAGTGATTATTGAAAATACAAATTTATGCAAAGCAAAATGAGATTCTATTATGATTTTTTTAAAAAGAAACTAACTGATTAATTTCTATACATTAAGATTCAATTATTGAATGTGAATAGCTGTTCGATTGATAAATAAACTTTGATGATAAATCAGTTAATCAAAAAAGAAAAAAAGACAACACTGAATTAATGTTTTTTATTTCATTGAAATGTTATGAATTTTGTTGAAAACCAAAAATCATCACATGATTACTAGTTAGTTGTTTTCAATGCACAATCTATGAAGAACAAACAGTAAAACAAAAACTACTACTAAGCATATACTCAGTACATTTCAATCTTTCAAAATATCTAATGACCTAATGAATTTATCAATCAGATAACTGATCGATAAGTTACAATATGAATATTAAAGCGTTAGACAAACATAACATGGACTAAATTTACAATATATGGTGGAGATTTGCAATTCAGGTAGATAGTTCTGAGCGTATCATGTTCTCTCAGCTAGATGATCGAGTCGAGAAGCTTTCATTGCTGCTATCCTGTGCAACAGTATCAGAGGCTTCTTGATACATAAGTAAGCTACTTCAGTTTTACACAAATATCGGATCTAATTCGTTCTGTTCAATAGCCAATGATTCTATATGATAAATTAGATTATTAGCAATGATACATATGTAACCGACTTCACTCAAATTTTCATTTTCTATATCCTCGATTTCTCTATTTACTAACCAATTTTTCTTTGTGGTGGAGTTGAGTGTTTTGGTTGTGGAGCTTTCATTCTTATTCTGAATAACACCATCAGCATGAACTTCATTGCTATCTGAAATGAGATTGATCTGGTTAATAGATTTTTAGTTAGTTATTCCAGTATCCAATCAATCACCTAATAAGTATTTTCTGCTCGAACCAATAGTTATTGGTCTTTCGATCTTGTTAATTATTCGCCTACCACCTTGGCTTCTTTTTATTTGAGTGTATGTGTGCATGCTTATTTCGCTGATCACATATCTGACCAATTTTTCTGGCTAAGTATAAATACTTAGTCATGTCGCATTGTATTGACTTGGCTTGCTTTTACCTTCTTCACGACATATCGCTTTGCTTGTACACTTTTTATTCTGATGCTTGTCTGCATGAAATAAGTTCATCCCACTGAATCTACATTTCGCTCCTTATTATCGTCGCCATCACACAAACAGGGTCCGCCTAAGTAGGATATACGGAAATTGAAACGGGACATTTATTTCATAACCTATTTAATTATTCGCGTACAAGTTCGAGTCAGAATGCAAACTATGTTAAGATTTTATGGAGCATTTCCGAAATTAAAAATACACATCTATAATCAGTAAATTATGATTTTTAGACAAAAATGTGAGAAATTTTAATAAGTTACATTTTGAATCGGCGGTCGGTTATGAATAACCACATTGGCTAATAAATGTCAACATTGAACAAATATTCTTTAAAACAATACCTAATTATGATGAACAGCCTATTTTGTATAACAGGAAGGGTTGTCGTTGGACAAAACTCTCGGTTCAGACATGTATATATATATATTTACATATGGTTGGTTAAAGTAAGAAAAGGTTTCAGCAATCATAATTAACAATAACTAACATTGGTGACCATCAATAAACAAAACATCCAATTATCATTGCAGTAGTAGTAGTCATATAATTTCTAATAGATATATATATATATATATATATATATATATTTATGAAAAACATCATAATGTTAATTACATTACATAGTTTATAATCAGCAATAAACAGACATTAAATAAATAGGGCAAATTAAAAACAAACAAACAAACGATAGAAAAGGAAACACATTCACATTTTGTCAATGTGAATGTGCATTGAGCAAAAAATCAATGAAATTATATTAAATCGCACAAAATAAAAACCAGGAAGACAAACATACACAGACACACACACAACCAAATGGCAAAACGCCAATTCTCTTACACTTGAATTCTTCTAATTTGGAAGAAGTATGTCTGTCTGCATCGCAGAACACAAAAAAAAATTGTCAATATCTGAATACTTTAAAGCAAATGGTATATTATACTGACACTGGATCTCGTTTATTGATGAGCACAAAGCAAACGGTGTGTTATTATTATTAATATTATTATTGATAATAATCATTTTATTATTATTAATAAAAAAAATATATATATAAATGAATAAATATAAATATACACAATGGAATATATATCATCATCAGATGGTGTAAAATATATATATATATATTTTGATCAGTAGACAAGGTTGTTTCATGATCAATTTGAATAACCACCAGTCAGTCAATGAGTAGTAATATCAATCATCTGAATTAGGATTACTTGATTTTATGTTTTGATAAATGAAAGAAATGATGAAATGTTACAGAACAAAAAATATCATAGAAATAGAAATATTTCCATGAATCAAACCAACCAACCAACTAACCAACCATAGGAATTATACACACAGAGATTAACGATATCATCATCATTTGTCATATAAAATCAATATTAAGGCAAAAACAAAATAATTGTAAAAGAAATAATATCATCTAAAATGAATTGATAATGAAGAATTGAAGCATTTAAAAATAAATCATAACTAAATTTGAAGAATTAGTCAGTCACATTATCATTTAAGTATCCTTATGATGTGATTTAGAACGATAGGATTTTTTGGATTTATTAAGTGAGCCAGTTGTTCGTATTGTGGTATGATCAACTAATTTCATCAAGGGATTAGAATCGGAAAATAACGAAGAAGAAGACGAAGTAGAACCGGGAGTAGATTTTCTACCGCCGCCGCCGCCGCCACCACCAACAGTAGTCAAATTGTTAACACTCAGCGTTGATGTTTCATTCAATTGATTACGAATATTATCGGACAGAATATCTGATGATTTTGGATTGATAGGCTAATTAATAATAATAAGAAGAAACAATTGAGAAGATGAAATGAGTAATCAATAAAACAATAATAATAATATTATTATTATTAAATTACTTTTGTTTTATTTTTTAAAAAACAAACGATTAGTGTAATGAGCATGCGTTAAGTTTAACTGTCTGCTGCAAACATGTAAGCATGATTCACAACACTTAAGGTATGATACATAAAACAAAAATGATCTTCAAGCATCCTAATCCAACTTCACGATTGATTGCTTTGCAATTGAATTTTCATTGTGTTGACTTGAAGTTTCAATGATCTAACACAAAAATTAATCAATTCATGCAGAAAATATCAATTTAATCCGAATTTATTCATCTATTATTAGAATTGGAGGTGGTTGGGGTTGACAGTGCTAACAGTACAATCTAAGACTTGAAGTATAAAAATCTCAGTAAAATTCAGAACTTCAATGCAAAAGACAATATCAACTTGTAGAAAAGAAAAGTGAACAGTAAGAAAAGAAACGATTATCAATGAGACAAGCTATGAAAAGAATTTCATTGTGTAACTAACTAATCAATCTAAATGTTGATATTTGTATGCTACTAATTAATTTGTGCATTGATTAATTTGCCTAACCAATTATACAGCTTCTTAATCATTACAATTGTCTTGTACACATACACATATTCGCTTGGGTAAATGTAAACGCAGAGTGTCAATCTACATTAGATGGTTGAGGAGTTTCACAAAACATCAAAATTTATGACTACAATGAAACGAATTAAGAAATATGAAAGCGAAAATCATTTCACACCAAAACCACCACTAGCCCACATAAACAATAATGTACAAAGTGAAATATATGAGCATCGACGAGTTAAGTTGCTTGCTCTCAAGGAAAAGGGAGGAGTGCAAAAAAAAACTATTAATTAGATGCAAAGCTAAGAAGTCACTGAATGATGTCAATTTTATATCCACTGTATTGTTATTTACAAAATAGCAATCTTCATGAAAGAGTTATGAGTATGTAATAGTACATGTGTGGTGTGTGCTACTTATATGAACGATATAAGTAGTATGAGAAGAGACGTGAAAGAAGAAGTCTCACGGTCAGAAGAGGAAAACGGAAAGCAAATGGAGCAAAAGCAAGAAGTAAATGGAGTAGTACCAATATGAAGGAAAGGAAGCAACAACAGGAACGGAAGAAGGATGGAGTGTTGGAAGTCACGACTCAAAGACGGTGTGCAAATAGAGTATCCAATGTAATGTTTTCGTTGATATCTTGTTCGGCAGTTCTTCTTCCAATCCCCGGTTCCTCCGCAAATATAGCATTTATTATTTCTTCCACCCTTTATTCATAACGCTGTCACCTCGCGTTGTAACTCTTCTATCTTCTTTGCGACATCATCCACCTGTCTCTCACACGCCACCGAAGCGGCTGTTGGGTTCATCAGCTGTCTCGTTACTTTTGCCAGCTCGGTGACGTCCACTGGTTGTGCGGCGTTCACCAGTCTCAACTGTTGGGCACCCTCTGCAGGCACACTTTCAATGAATTGCGAGGCTAGCAGCTGTGCTTGTGACTCCTCATCCAAATTCCGCAGACCCCGGCGCAGCAATCCTGCCTATCCGCCGGGCTGTCGAACTCCACCAGCAGGCTTTCCGTCACCACCTCGGAGTCAGCGTCCTCCACACCGTCTTACACCGATCTCGCCCTGCCTCTTAGTAGAGTCCCCAACACCACTGCCTTCGCCCTCTGCCCCTTGACTCCTACCAGCTCCGCTACGGCATCGAACTCCTTCAAGAAGCTCCTTACATATCCGTCTTCAAACTCCCGAGGCCGTGGGATCTTCATCCTATGTAGAGGCGGCGACACCAATTGAGAAGACTGAGGCAGGCGAGGAAGATTGTATTATGCAAATTTATACTCTGAATTAGTTAAAAACGAAAACATTACATTGAATACTCTATTTGCACACCGTCTTTGAGTCGTGACTTCCAACACTCCATCCTTCTTCCGTTCCTGTTGTTGCTTCCTTTCCTTCATGTTGGTACTACTCCATTTACTTCTTGCTTTTGCTCCATTTGCTTTCCGTTTTCCTCTTCTGACCGTGAGACTTCTTCTTTCACGTCTCTTCTCATACTACTTATATCGTTCGTATAAGTAGCACACACCACACATGTACATAGTTAAGTTAGAAAAAAAGATAATCAAAGTGAAGTATTCACATGTGAAGTCAATAGGCCACATGTTAAAAAATATCACTAGAAATAAAAGTATTTTGAAGATGTCAGATAGGCTCACACACAAACACACACTAGAAAACTATTATTTAAGAAAATTGTTAGTTATCAAAAACAAATCACAAGAGGTGAGAGAACAAACCTGTCCACGTATATTATTCTATTAGGAGGAAATACAAGAAAACAATCAGCAAAACTAATTGTTACACAACAAGTAAATAAATTAAAAAAAGACAGAACTTGAGAATTTTTTTTATGTTCGTCTAGTTAAATATTTGGCTTTCCTCTCCATGGTTTATCATACTCATCTGATGTTTTAACTCATAAAATATGCAGAGTAAATCACCTGGGTTTTTTTTCGGTCCTAACACTAGATAAGTTAAGGGTAGAGAAAATTAGTGTGGACCGATTAGTACATTGAGTTTCCACTTCAATTACCGTCAGGATTTTTGTAGGTGTAACAGAGAGAGAGTGGAGGTCCCTAGTATTATTTGACAAAAAACACCAACATCATTAGTGATTCTGGTAAGTGAACGAGAACAATTTTATTTTCAAATTGTGTTCGCGTAACCCAGTATCTTAAGCAAGTTAATTGCGAGCATAATTCTATGTAAATAACATACATGTTGAAATATAACGCCTATAAAAATTTAGATTTCATTTCCTAAGTTAGATTATCTTCCTCAAGTGTCAACTGTGTGATCTGATGGTGTGTATGGTCTGACATTTATAATGGTTAAGCCTTCAATTCGAGTGTAGTCAATGTGGTTCTAGCGGCTTGTTTCAAGAGGCTATCTCATAAACGTAACAAAATGTAACTGTACACGGATTTGTTGTTATTCTTTTGTTATACATCGGTTGTTAATAGTTAAAATGAACTAGGAAAAATATTCTTATTTATTGCAAGTACTTCAACTGTCAGAATTGAAATTACTCAGTAGTGAGATGACTTCATACCTGAAGTACTACTTTTTGTAAACCTTTGAAAACGTGTATAGACTAGTGTAAATAATAAAAATGTAGTCACAACTACCAGATATAACACTGTTGGAATGGGAAAGATATCAATTCGGTCCTCAAACCGTAATAACTTTCCAAGTTCTAATTTCAAAGGATTCACTTTTATGATTGACAAGCAAGATATATCACCTGTCATCAGTGCTCATATAATATACATTGTTCAATAATGGATGAAGCCGTTTAAGCACTTTGTCAACTCTTATAGCCTATATGTGTTTTTCTCTAGATGTGAAGGATAGATATATTGTCTATCAATGAATTGTGTACAATTTATTCGGTTAGTCAATTAAAGCTTGATCAGTCATGCTTACTTAGTCTTGTCACTTGCGTAACAGATCGGTCAGTTCTATAAAGTAAGCTTATATGTCAGTACCTTCTGATAACTTTGCAAAAGAAAACAGATTAGTTAAAATTACCAAAAAGCAAACAAAAAAGAAAAGTTTTTATAGCATCAGTAAACAAATCCGTACTTGATTAACTAAACTGCCACGTAAATGTTCCGGTACATGATCATGTCGTATTGAAATAGACGGTACAGGTGATGGTCTCGGAGTAATTTCAATATCTGAAGAATGTGTATAGGTTCGGTTGAAATTAGTTGAATGATTTTTGGTCACAGTTCGATATGTTGTTAAATCATCACTATTGGAATAAATATGTATTGGTTTTCTTAAATCATTGATATTCACCGTGGTGGTTTGATTAGTTTCAGTATGATTACCGGATAATTCATTTAAATAATCATCAATTAAATTTGTCATTATAGAGGATGAATTGCTTCGATTCAACGGTGCATTGAAATTATCTGAATTAAAATTGCTTTGAAGTTCTTGCAATTCTGTAAATTAAAAAAACAAAAACATAAATGACAGAATATTTCTTGCATAATTTTTATTTTTTATTTAATACACAAATAATCTTGTCTATTACCAGATAAGAAATCAAATATCTTTTGTTTTTAAACTGCACAAACACACACACACATATGAGAGGTAGTAGTACTTACTATCTTCTGGTCGTTATTCCCAACAAAATGAAGGCTTTAAAGTTGAACACTTTTATGACTGAAACACCACGTGAATAATGAGGATAAGTGTGTGTGTGTGTGCCTCCATATAAATTTGAGTTTACTCACATTTAATTTGATTAAGCCTTTTCGATTAATTTACGTAACCAAGCTATTTGTATAACAACAACTCATATGTACCATCGGTATTTTTTATTGTCTGGTTTGTATGAGCTTGTTTGTACGATTGAGCATTGCTTACGCACACGCTCTTACTCATTCTTTTCGCTTTTTATATTAATCTTAAATATCATGTTGACTCAGACATTTCCCTATGTATATATATATGAACATTTTAAGCTTATTCATTCATTGGTCCATTCGCACATTCGACCACTAGTGTGTCTGCCCTGTCTGCTTGTGGTCCGCTGTCCCATTTGGTGATATGCTAAAAACACACGAAATCGACACTTTGTATTTGCCTTCTGATTTATAACCGTCAGGCGTTATTTGGTGCTGATTGCTTAGACGAGCTAATTATGCAGATTAAGAACACGTTGAAATCGGCCACCAGAAGTGAATTGCAAGAAAATAATTCTACTTAAATTCTAAGCCACGCTAGGCAATTCAAATTTCACCTGGGTTAGATGAATATAATCTCAAACAAGTTTGGAAGAACTCTTATTCATCAAATAGTATAAAATAATGACAATCTATCATTTAAAAGTTGCTATTCTCCAATAGTGTATTAGGTTTATCCAGCTCCACTGAACAGCAAACTAAGTGGTTTTAATTCATTATGAGAATATCCATTTCAGAAAAATTGATGTATGCTACTTTTACCGCATATCCAGGAGACCTAAATAAAGAAGATTTCACCCAAGTGGTATCGGGGCAAACGATGATCAATGTCACGAATTGATCAACTTTAGAAATTAGAAAGATTACATTACCACTCAGTATTTAGACGGTCAAGGTGAAGCACTAGTGAAGGTGTTTGGTTTGATTGCCTATACAGTTGTGAATACGTATTGTTAAGAGGTTTTGCAATATAAGAAAGACTGTTCAACTTGAGAGATTGTGTTGATAGAATAGATTCATCATACATGGATGCAAGTAGTAATTAGTGTTATACAACTAATAATAAATATTCAAACATACGTGCATTATTATTCATAGGTGTTAATTTTAAACCCATTTTTTTGTACATATTTAATTGTGCTTGTAATGTACTCCGTAACTCTTCATATTGACGTTGACGATGTTCCAATTCGGAACGTTCATTTTCTAATAATTGACGTTCTTTTGCAATTTTATTATGTTCTCTTTCAATAGATGAACGTTGTTTTTGATATTCTTTCTCCCAATCTTGAGATTTTTTAGTAAAATTTTCATAATCTTGACGTAATTTCTCTGTTTCTTGTTTCACTGTAGTATTATCTATTAAATAACCATAAGTACTAATATTGTCTGAATGAGTTGTACTACCACTTCCTGAATTCAATGAAGTACGCATAATCATTTGATTATCACGATTACGAAAATCTTTCCAATTTGATTGTTCAGCTTCTAATTTACCAATAGTAGAACGTAATTCAACATTTTCAGTACGTAATAATTGTATTTGAGGCTTGAGAAAAAAAGATGAACGTATACAACAACCACATAAGTAACATCAGTTATTTTAAGGAAAAAAATAAGATACCAACTTCATCAGCACAATAATATTCATTACAGAAGTTATAGAGATGGTTATTTTTTACTGGAATCATGAATCGATCATTGTTAGATCACCATTTGGAACCTAAAGTTGCGCAAAACTTTAGATTGATAAAAGTTAGGCATTCACACCGTTAGATGATGGCTCAGTGGTCTAGAGGTTAAGCGAAGGCCCTGAGTTCGATCTCCGTGAGTGAGGGTCGTGGGAACGTACTGCTGAAGAGTCCTGTAATATGATGAAACGACCGTCCAGTGCTTACAGGTCTCCAACGGTGGTCTAACAATGATCGATTCATGATTTCAATGAAAAAATAATTATAACATTTATTTAAAAATCCTCTAAGTAGTCGATTAAAGAAGTTGAATTTTAAGTCATGATGTTAAACGCACATACAAGGATCGAATAATATGTATTCACTATAAAACAACATTCATTATCTCAACTATATGGAAACGTGTGTAATCCTTTGAAGTTTTGTAGAGTAATTAATGGTCATGAAATAGTAGTGGAAATTGAATACAAAAAACAGCTTATAGATAAAATGACTGAGATTAGTTAGCTTGTTTATTTAATAACAATAATATCGTCTGATCGGCTAGCAACTGAATCACACGGATCAATAGACACAGTAAGGTTGGTTGGTGTAAGGCAGTTAGTTTGGAATACTTTCATGTCCTAACAGGAGTACTGAATAGGAGATTTTACAAGATAACAATTTCTGAGTAAACATCAAATTTAGGTGTTTAATTTTTTGGTTGGTTAGACCATCTAGCTTTCAAACTTTAGTGGAGTTTTTCTCCTTGTAATCTTTACTTTTATCTCCCAAACACTTTTAATTGGGATAATATTTCTGTCGAAACTTACAAATATAATTTCAAAGGTAAGACAAACATCCAAGTAGAATTCAGGATAAAAAGTGACAACATCAACGGTGTTTTTTAAATTTTAGTTTGTCGTATGAAACATGTTTTTCAGATGTTTGATGTTTTCTCCTGAGTAGTATCTGTATTTAAATATTTTCGTCTGATGTCAAGCTTGCCATATACTTTAACAGTATGATCAGAACTAGCTAGTAGAGCACTTTTATAAGTCACACCACTGTGTAGATCATTCAACGAGGATTCACGAATTTTGATCCAAACATAATTAGGAGACATATTTAGACTGAGTAAGAACCGAAGATAGTTCACCTTACCAGTTAATGATCAGTAGTTAAAAGTTAATATTTCAGGCATATACATCCGATTAAAATTCATTCTTTTCAATATATATTGCCAGCCACTGGTAATGTTTGTGGATGCTTTTTACTGTACCTAATGAAGCAATAGACCGTAACCATTGTATATATGCACCTTAACAGGTTATGCGGTTGACCGACATAATTAATGAGTACAAACAAACAAACAAAAATAACTTGTCAAAATATTTAAATGGTAAGGAGTCGAAGTATTTAGACAGGACTAAATTCAGTAAATTTCAAAGACTTTAAATCAGGGACTGGTTCTAGCTGAACCACCGTCGGAAACCTAGAAGCATTGGATAGCCGTTTCATCCTAATATACGGACACTTCAGCAATGTACATCTACAACACGCGCTTAGGAGTCGAACCCAAGACCTTCGATCTTGCCTGAGAATGTGAAGATGAGACAGCCATCCAAAGCTTTCAGGTTTTCAATGATATTCTAAAACATGTTTGTGATTTGAAATCTAAAACAAAGAGATTTCATCAGTCAATCGAAGTTATTTGTTTTCAATTCAATGTTCATAAATAGCCAAGTTTTATAATAAAAATATTTTTACATTAAAAAAATATGAGTTTGGAATTTGTACAGATAATTAAATTTATTATTAGCACTAATGAACCTTGAAATTATTTGTATGAAGTTGTATAGAAAAATAAATATCTAAGGAATAATTGATAAGATTTTCAATACACATAATGCAGGTGATGGATGAAAAGAAATAATATAACAGGGTTATAATAATTATGAACAGATATAAGCTATGGAAATTTGTATGGAGCGGGGAAGATTTGCAGCTCAAATATGTGCTTTTGATGTTATTGAGCTGAGTTAAATGGTTTAATTGCAAAGTTTTCATTGATGTTCTAAACAGCATCATCATCACATAGATATAGATGATCAAACTGTTTGACATTTGAATATTTGTTTCAGTGCTTGTTTTGAAAAATTGAATGTTTAAGTAAATTATTGTCATTCAAATACTGTAGACGGGTTGGTGAAAAAAACCTGCGTTTTAACTAAGCAAGCAAGGGATAAGAGTTATAGTTTAAATTTGTCAGAAGATATTGACAACCATGGCACGTCTAAAACATCGAGGTGCATAATATCTGCTGGGTTCGTTAACAGACTGGTGTGATACATTTATGATTTAATTAGAAAAGGAGTGATTGTGGGCTTTTAGATGTATGAGAGCAGTTTTACTTCTAGGCCATATACACTGGATCAGTGATGGTTCTAGCGACATGATGCTGTGACTGCATGGCGCAAAGGATAAATGCTTCAAACCGATATAGACGATCTTTTAGAGGAAAGAATTTGATGTAATAACTCTGTACTTAAGAAGACCTAACTGCCAGAGACGGAAAACTAAGGAGTAAGGTGATGTGTGACACATAGTTGACAGTTTTTGACACCATGCTTCAGCTGTGAGAAGGCAGCATTAAGGATTTTATGACTAATCGCGAAGTAAGGTATGATTGGACAAACGATAAGGTTTTAGGAAAAATATCATCAATTTATTTCTCAATGAAATCTTGTGGGCAAAACATAAATTCGAAAATACTATATATGGATTAAATACAGTAACTATTACAACTTTACTAAAGAAACAATCAGACTGAAGATAGCGCCCATCACATTTCTAAGCGAAATCTAAAACATGTTGACGGATAGCCTGTAATTTTAATAAAAGCTAAGCAGGAAGTAAGTAAGACCTATCATTATTACTAACTATTATTAGGATGTTTGGAATTGATGAGCATGAAAGGACTACAGCATGGGGGCAAACCTGACGGATTATTAAAATGACAATGAGAAGGTGATTAACTTTTCATGCATAGCATTTATTGTAATCTGAATTACGGATTTTCGAAGGATCTCGATACCTAAAACTGAAGATCAAACTAATTATTTATCCCTGTGGCTGTAAAATATTTTTCAAATTTAATTTGTAGTCGGACCCCAACCAGGTAGTCTACACTTGGTAGGAGTCCGCGAGACGATAGTAATCTATGGTTAGAAACCTTGAATGATATGGTTCAAAACCGTTTGCAGTGATGTAGGTGCATCCAATCTTCGGCTTCTCTCAAATGTTAATCCTCTGGATACTTCATCACCATTATCACTAGACTATACTTCTTGCATAATATCTTCCAACACTAATCTCTCCGATTACTGCTAATACGTTTACTACTTTTACTACTATGAGATTTGAATTGACTATTGCGTCTCCGTGCTAATGTGGTATGACAACTTGAACTGATGTATGTACGTACGAAGTTCTACGTTATAACTGACTGACTGACTGACTGAATTTGTAGTCATTACAACAAATACCTAAACCTAAACCCTAATCTTTAAACTTTAACCATAAACGTTTTTCGGTAGATTTATGTAACAAACTCTAATTACTTAGAAAGTAACTTCACCTTCTTAAACAGTCATTTTAAGTATCATTGAAGATTGTCAATAAAATATACTTTTCACTTTATGGTTAGTTTGTTATACAGACAATTTACAGTTGATTGAATAGTACATCTAAACCAGTATATATGACTAATACTTAAAGATACAATCAAACTTACAAAAAGGACATTAGCTATTTGATTTAATTCACCAAGTAATAATAATGCCTCGGAAGATGGTTGACTTGAAACAATCAATGAATTCGATGCATCAGTTAAATTGTCAGGATTGCAAGATAATAATTGACTGGATGGTGGTGAAAGTTGTTCATTAGCTTCTGTTTCTTTTCCACTTGCCCCAGTGGCATTTAAACTAGCTAAAACTGTAAGTGGTGGACGCGGAGGTATAGGAGGACCGGATGATGGTTTCTGACTACGTGATACAGAGGACAAAGATTGGCATTGTTTGCTAGGTTTACGTGTTCCACCAGACCCATTTGCACCAGAATCAGTAGATGATTGATTGTTTAAAGAGAAATTTTTATCCCGACTAGGTGTACGAAATATGCTAGCCATAGTAGCACTAAGTCGATGAACATCTCTCTAGAACAGAAAAAATCATAAAATAGTAAATTAAGGAACTGTTTACAGATATTACCAGTGGATAAGTTTAACTAAATAATCGCAAACCAATCCAGATAAAGAAAATATAACTTTTAGGTCATTACAATGTTGACTTTCGACCGAATAATAATTAGATTTTAATGAGTAAACTATCATTAAATTGGTGTCGAAAATAAAAATGTAAATGTAGAAATGAAATAACTATGAATGAGCTTAAAGAAATACGAGAATTAGGTTTAAGGATATGAGTATTATTTATGGCATCTATATATAACTTGGACAAAGTTAAAACCTTTACATATTTGGGCAACATCATCGACCAGCATGGTGGATCCAATGCAGATGTAAAGGCACAGATCGGTTAAGTAAGGGCTGCATTTTTACAATTAAATAACATCTGGAACTCCAAACAAATATCAACCAACAACAAAATTAGAATTTCCAATACAAATGTCAAGACAGTTCTGCTGTATGGAGCAGAAACCTGGAAAACTACCACAGCCATCATTCGCAACATACAAGTGTTTATCAACAGTTATCTACGCAAAATACGTCGGATCTTATGGCCAGAAACCATCAGCAACAACTTACTGTGGGACAGAACAAACCAGGTTCTGGTGGAGGAGGAAATCAAGAAGAAGCGGTGGAAGTGGATAAAACACATATTGAGGAAAGCACCCAACCGCGTCACAAAACAAGTCCTCACTTGGAACCCTCAACGTCAAAGGAAAAGAGGAAGCACAAGAAACAAAATACACCCAGAAATAGAGAAGGATATGAGAGGAATGAACAAAAATTGGACAGAACTGGAAAGGGAAGCCCAGGACAGAGTAGGTTGGAGAACACTGGTCGGCGGCCTATGCTCCATTGGAGGTAACAGGCGTAAGTAATATAAGCTGATCTAAAACTCTGACAGTCAATAGTCAACCTTGATAAGTCCATTGATCATTTAAAAAACAATGGATCTCTTAATTTTAGTATTGTTCTACGTTAGTGACTATTCCCCAGTAAACTATATCATGTTATATGTTCTTATCAAAGCCGATAAATGTTTACTTTTAGGTATAAATAAATTAGATGCAATCAAAATATATAACAACTAAATGTAAAATATAACAACAACTACTTGTAATTTTAAAATAAAACAACTCGCTGCTGTCTATAATTCTGAGCTGGATGATCATCAATTATCATCTTCTATGGTGATTATTTCACATGCATACAATTTTACATTTAAAAAAAAAATTTAAGCATCATTTTCAGTAAAGCTTCAAAACTAATTAGTTACTGAATAAAGAAGACCAGCGTCATAACTGTCCAATTGTTTCTTATACGCTGATCGAATTCTATAGGATCAAGTGGTAATGTGGTTTCTACATTCAAATCCACCGGTTCACTCCAGATTATAGGTATGCCTTGCTGATGTGTGCTAACTAATATGATTCCTAAACCAAGCAGAGTATCCTGTTAACTATCAATAACCACAGAAAAGATAAATGTTAGGATTAAACTAATAAACAATATCTATCCCAAAATGTCTAATTCAAAAATTCAAATAATAACATACCTTCTTAGATTTGAAGCGACTAATACCAATTGAAGATCGTAATTCATTAGCCACTAAAATGTGTAAAATTAATATGATGATTTTAAAAAGAATAAGGATTTGTTAGTTTGAATTTGCTTACAGGGAGGAAAATTGAAATATGTCGGAGTTAAGTTCAAAACATCAGAATTATCGAGATATATTCCAAATAACACTTTATAAGCAAGAGATCGATCAATCACATGGCGTAAAGTCAACCGAAACTGACAGCATGAAGGCAATATCAAGTGACACACAGCAGTTGCTAACACGACCATCAGAACTGACTGATTCAAGATATATGGAACAATCAAAGAGTAAGCCTTGATAAGGTTTAGAACGACAAAAGAGCTTCGTGATTCAACCATGCAGCTAAGGGAACCTAAAAAGTATTAATCAGACAAATATTTCTTCGTTGAAAATGTCTTGAGTAAAAAATACACCTCACTTATTTTGAAGGTTTTGAGTTCTTTAGGCTGAATGGTAGAAAGAAGACCATCAAACTCTAACCGTTCTCATTAATTATTTACAAAACAATTTCGATTCACACAGACAATCTGATCGCGCAGTGAGAATCGATTAAAAAACAAAGCTGTCATTTTAGGAGTCATACAAGCACCAACTTGTTAAACACTTTTCAATGGTTTTTGAAAAGTGTTTCTTCTGAAATCCCTAAATCTCAACTAAGCAGAAATCATACTTTTAATCAAATTGTATTTGCTATGAGCGCTAATAATCTCCTTCCATTATAAAATAATTCATTCGATCATGAAATCAGATCAAATTAATGTTTGACGGCACTGCAAACTAGTAGCAACATCTTTCCAATAAATCAAAATATCTGCACACGATACCTATGCAGATCAAACAGTCGGCTTAGGATGACGAATATGACGCAATGATAAGCTATAAGGTAACTCTCCTTAAGGTCAGATAATCGTGAAAAATATTAGATTAAAGAAGAAAGGAAACAAGTTTAAACCGTTACTTCATCATTAAATTATTTTTCTTTGTAAGGTAGTGATTCAAGCTTTATATGATTGCATTCATTACAGTTAAGATTATTGATATTAGCAAACGTTTAGTTTATAGTAAAACGGTTGATAATTAAGCCAGTTGGGCACGGATACAGAAGACTCGGTCGGCTATTGCCATTGTGCGTCACTTATAGAGTAGGCAAGATGTCCGTCTGCCAACCAGAGGATGAGTTCGCTGCGCAGCAGTTTACTCCGCCTACTTTACACGTGTGAAACATGGCTACTAAGAGTAGGAGATACTCGTAGGGTACTAGTATTCATTCATAGGTGTTTTAGAAGCATTGCTCATATTTCCTACGAAAATCGAGTAAGCAATGACGGTTTTAGGAGAAGGGTAATAAGAAAGACTGGCAAATCAATTGATGAAGTAGTGAAACGTCATCAGTTGAGGTGGTTGGGACATGTGTTATGTATTCCCAACCGCCGACTGCCTCGAAGGGCAGTGCAGTATGATGAAGCGGTAGGCTGGAAGGAAGCTGATTACGGCTAAACCAAACATGGCACGAGACCATCAAAGTCACTGACACCTGGACTGAGCCATGTTAATAGGTGTAGACTTTTTGGTTGAAGTGCGCGTGGTTTTCGTAACTAGTGGTTAGATATTTTGGGTGAAAAGGCTGAAAATCGTTTTCAGTGACGAAGATGCATCCAACCTTTGCCTTTCCCGAAATTCTCATCTTCTGAATTCCTCATTACCTTCCTTTTACTTTTAAATTTATTTCACTGTGATATACTTCTGGTATTACATCTTCGACCCCTAATGTTTTCGATTACCGCTACTACTGCTAGCACCTCTGGGACTATGGGTTTCGAATTGACAATCCCGTCCTTCAGCACTAATGTGGTATGACATTTCGAAATGACGTACGTACGTACGAAGTTCTGCGTGGTAGCTGACTGACTGACGGTCGAAAAAAGTCGTACGAGGCTCCTACATATAGATTTCTACATAAAAAAAGATGTATTTGATGATGACAATGATAGTGGTGAATGTTTAACCCACTTCATTTTAAGTTTCATCATATAATTGATCTGTAATATGTTGAGAATTAAAGCTTGTATTACTCAAGTGATGATTAGTACACACAGTAAAAAAAATTTCGTACAACAATCAGTGAAAAAAAGTATAACAATGTGATTTTACGTAAAATAATCATCTTGCTAGAATAATACATGAGAGTTGTTGTTTTGATTTTTTTTAAAAACGTAAGAAATTTACAAGATTCACGATGTTCACTTAAATTGTTATGATTATAAATTTAACAATTTTTTGGCAATTATTGTACTAAAGGTATACGCATGTAACGCGAACTTTTAAAAAGTCTATAACATAAACATCTTAGCATATTGGACTTCAAGAGACAACTGAACAAGATAAACATGTGGTAGAAAGATTAAATATAGAATTTAAAAAAATATCAGTAATCACTGCAATATTTTTCTCTCTCTCTACACACACACACACACACTGACAAGTACAATATTTTTGACAGTCAATAAAATAATTTACTTCAATACATAGAAACAATAATCATTTTTGTCCCTTCAACAAATTATTACAGTTCAATCTTTCAGAAGGGAGTTGATGACGTAATAACAAAATAAGTGAAACAAAAAAATGCTAAACATCAGCGAGATGATAATAATCGACAGTTAGAGACTATCAATGACATGGCTCAAAACCGTTTGCAATGAATGGCGCAGGTGCACTTACTCTTTGTGTTTTACAAAGTTCTAACCTTCTGAATTAATCATCACCTCTATCTTTGTCTTTCTAAATTTACCTCACTGAATTATACTTCGTGAATAATATCTTCGAACCCTAATCTCTCCAATTACTGCTAATACTTCTATTATTCCTACCACAATGGGATTTGAACTGACAATCGCATCTCTATGCTAATGTGGTATGGCAACTTGAACTGATGTACGCACGTACGTACGAAGTTCTACGTTACTGTTGATCGATTGCAGGGCGACCGATTTCATTGATACTGGGGGTTGTCTTGCAACATTCCCAAGGTTCACTTATCATCAGACGCTGTAATGTATATCACGATCGCCAATAATAGTGACTTTGACAGTCTTGTAAGCCGGATGGGTCAAAATGGCCTGTTCATGCTTTGCATATTGATGGACGTGATCATGGATCGGATATAACCACTATATGCACTTAGTGTACATAAACAGTGTCAATGGTCCACTAGGGTGTCAGGTACCTGTGTGGTAGCGCTACAAGATTGAGCAGTACTGTTTAGGTCGTGGTGTTAACACCTGGACAATATTTCGTTCTTCTGAAGTACAATGTAAGAGTACACTTGCCCATCGAGGGCAAATTTATATATATAAACATATATATACCGTCTGTAAAAGAATACAATACCGGTTGGTATAGGATTAGGTTGGGAAAAAGTTAAGAGATTAAAAGAATAGCAAAAAGCAACATCAGTTAGTGAAGCTTTTGATTGTTAGCCTGAAATATGTTAGTAGATCTGGTTAGGGCTGTTACGATATAATATTTAGGATATTTAAGTGAGAAAGATTAAAATTAGTACAAATTAATTAATTCTTTATATTTTGTATAGATATTAAGTTTCGATATTGTTTGATACAACATTATTATTGCAATTAGTTAGTACTCCATGTTTGTAAAGATATCTTACTGATTTCCTTCATCATGAAGGTTTACATGATGTTAAAACACTTTTTAGAGGAGTTAATGCATTTAGTAAGTATGATGAATTTTGAACATGATCAGTGCTAGTTCACTAGACAAGGAAGTGTATCTCTATATTATTGATTATATTTAAAAAAAGAGTTAGCTTATACTTATATTAGTAAGCAACAAAATCTTGTTTATAATTAATTTTAAATGCTTATTACAATTAGTAGTTAGCTTAAACAATTGATAGAGAAAGTATAAATTTCAGTATTGAATAACAAAATCACCTAGATCATACAGGTTAAGCTTCATGATATATAAACTTAAATATGGTGTTAAGAAAAAAATTCGCTTACTTTCTGCAACAAATTTATCTATATCATCTGAAAAAAATGATGATTTTATATCACAAACGAAAAATATGCATCTACGAAGAAAACTAATATCAATATACATTCCAATAAGTAACAGAATTGAAGGACAACATTTCTATGATTGAAGCACATGTGAAACTCAAAAAATCAACTACCGATAAACACTAAAATCAGAATATTCAATACAAATGTCAAGACAGTTCTGTACTATACAAAGCGGAAACTTGGAAAACTAGCAAAGCTACCATCCACAAGATACAAGTGTTTATCAACAGTTGTCTATGCAAAATACTTGGGATTTCATGGCCAGAAACCATCAGCAATAAACTACTATGGAAGAGAACAAACTGGATTCTAGCAAACGAAAAAATCATGAAGCGCTAGAGGTGCATAGGACACACATTGAGGAAAGCACTCAACTGGGTCACAAAACAAGCCCTAACTTGGAATCTTTAAGACCAAAGGAAAACACGAACACCAAAGCACACATTACGCTGAGAAGTGGAAACACATACATGGAATGAACAGCAATTGGATATAACCGGAAAGGAAAGCCTAGGGGGACAGAGCAGGTTAGAGAATACTGGTCATATTATATCTCATAAATCTATTTTTGTAGCGGTTATGTTTGAACAATGTTTTTTTTTCATTCTCATATAATATTCGCAACCGACTTGGCCCAAACAAATGATCCATACCTGTGTCAGTCAATACAAACTGTTACTAAATTTCATAATATTTAGAGAAGTATTTCACAAAGGATAAGCAAAACGTGACAATGATTAACTTAAAGAAAATATTACTAGTTAACAAAAACAAAACTACAATATATTCTATGGTGTAATCTTAATCAATAATAATAAGAATTCGTTGAAAACTCAATGTATTGAATTTTTCACAACAATAATAGTCAAGTATACCCGAAGTGTTGATAACGTTCCCAGTAACAAAAGTAAATGCTTTTAGAGTAATTTACAGTATTTTTTTTCTTCAATCGAGATATCAGTTTATTATTATTATTATTATCAGTAGAATTTTTGTTTCTTGTTAATTTTATAAATTATTCTTTCATATATAAATAGTAGTTTTTTTTTAAAAAAAAGCATTACGTTTAATCGATAGTGATTTTGTGTTTTCTTGAAAAATCTCATTCAGTTATCAGATCAAATAAAAATAATTCAACAGTATTGATAAGTGGAAACTATGCAAAATACTTTTAGAACGTACAATAAATGCATTCACAGTGAAAAACATGTACAGAGTATAATTGATCATAATGTCTTGAGTAAAGAAATCATGTGTCTAAAGTGTTATCGTTTACGCAAAAATTAATCATTATACAGTTTCATTGGAGAATAAATAACCTTCGAAAACCAAGAAAAAAATTACGTTAAAGAAAGAAAATAATGCCCAACGATAACATAGAATTTCTATTGCAGATTAGTTAAGTGGCATGGAATGATGGTCACAATTTATCTCCATAAAAGCTTAAAGTTAAAATAATACTTTCTCACGAAACCTGAATATTCTGGATTCGAATGAAGGCTCACTGAAGCTGTTCAATCGTAGCAAGTACTACTTAAGTACAAGTAACAAGTACTACTACTAAGATCAATCTTATTCTCATACAAATCGCTTTGAAAGAAGATCATTTTTAAATCGCTTCCTATCTATTAACTATTCAGGCAAATTAAACGTCAACAGAAAATGTTTTATAAATAGACAAGAGATTAAGTGAAATAAACTTGTCTTGGTACATAAACTATATAAACTACGATAGATATACAAAGTGATCGCCTAATATATTATTTTATATGAACAGATCCAAGGGAAAAAAATTAGTTGTCAGTTATTTTATTAAATGAGAAAAAAAACTATCTGTAAATTAGTGACTGCTAGACATTCAAATCATCGGTTACCATGTTTTGATTTTTACAGATTGTTCTTGTATAGTAAGTATACTTGGCAAATCGAATAATTAATTTTTACAAACTAAAGATTTAATCCGAACATAAAATAATCATGAATTGAAAACGATCTGTATAGATTTATCATTTGTCCATCTAAATCCATCAAATTACCGACAGTCTTAGTCGATAATTAACAACAAAGAAAACTTTTATAATCAAACAACATCAAGAAGGCGGAGCTTTGTACAAAAATGAACCCATCAACCACGCGTACATTAAACTTATTACACAAGGTCAAGCCAATGAGAGAGAGACAGGGCAACAACAGTTTCAATGAAGAAATTGTAAAATCATCGCAACAACAATAAAGATTTAAAAGAAAAGGGAGAGTGGAGAGAACAAGGTCGAAAGAGCACTAAAATATAAAGTGATATAATTCCGGAATAGGGATCAATTTATTACAGATGTACAACTTTTTTCAGCAAAGCAGTTAGTTAATCTGAACTATGTGAACCACTAAAGAAATTAATCATAAACAGGAGTACAAAAGATGATTTTCAATTTATTAGTTGGAATATGTAAATATGAATAAGGAAAATGTGATATTTGCCTCTAAATGTTTATGAATGTGACACTGATTTAAACAGATTTGAAAATAAAACCAATGTTGTTATTCTTGTATATAATTCTGGTGTACAAAATTTTTATCAACAGACTCTCTAGTCGGAATATTCTTGAGCATATTAAACAAAAAGAAAGAATTTTCAAATTAAACTAACAATATGCATTCTGTGTAGACTTTCACTAGTGAAGAAGAAGAAGGCAACGAAGACTTAGATTTTCTAAGGATTCTATTAAACCGGTAAGGAGATAGATAGATCAGTAAGAGTAAGTATAGGAAGCATTCATCAATATGTCAGTTCACACAATTCTTCAACACAATGACCAGTCAATCTAAAAACATTGATAGGATTCCTCACAAACAAAGCTGGAACTGTTTCCATAATGCAAAGTATGCTGACTGAACAGGGTTCTTGTGAAAAATAGTTTGGAGAAATAAGTGTATACGAACGAAGAAGAGGAAGTCAGCAAAACTATTATTAATTAAGGAGCCTTTACCTCTGTTTTATTGCATTTTATTAATGGCTATGATGAGATAGATAAATCTAAGGAGTTTATCGTGATTCCTCAGATTCCATAGAATCTTTCAAACTGAGTTCTAATTCATCTATGAGTTTAGATCAAAAACCTTTGTGTCCTATCACATAAGTAAGAAGATTTGATAATCTCTTTTGTTACTATTTGTGTATTGCATGATTATGATTATTAGCAAACTTCGAACACTGGTGATTATTACTCATAATTTTGGTTTTCCTAATAAGAATAAGTTATTTCAAGAATTCATAAATATATTAGTATGGTATCACATAGATCGATTCAATGAGGAAACAAATAACACAAAATAAATGATCACATAAACCTACCAGGGAAATTATCATGTGCACTGAATGTTTCATACTTTTTAAGTAAATTTATTTGAGGTCGTTTGCTACCATCAACATCTGAGGCACTTCGGGATAAACTGGAAGACGGTCCACTGAGAAGAGCGAAAGACAAACGGTGAACTAAAAGACATCAAAAAGATGTGATTCAATGAAAAATTCATGCTTGAAACAATTTAAACATTAAAATCAAAGAAAAGTCCTATACGTTTATGATAATTACTGTAAGTGCTTTGATCTTACGGGTCGAAAGTAACCCTTATCACTACCAGTGTTCAATAAATGAATTGTATCCAACACTTTAGGTGATTTTAATGAAATGGATATTCGAAATTTCACTGTAAAAAATACGTTCCACTATCATTTATCTGTTTCATTCAGCTTGTTGGGCTTCGCTACACTGACATGATTATATCAGATAGTTTGAGATGACTTTGCACGCTTGAAATAAAATGCTTAATAAAAATTACGGTCCGATATGCAGGGTTTAGTTACTAAATAAACAAAGGAATGGCTGAGTGTTGATTGAACAATGGATGTTGTAGAAAACTTCAATTCTTACATGCTTTGGTGGGCTATCGAATAATGTACGATTACCATGCCAAGTTAAAAAAAGGGTTACCTTTACTTATCTAAAATAAAACTCACCTACATGCCTTACTTTAAGCTCAAAAATCGTGAGTACTTTCGGAAAATCGAACGATAGTGACAAGATGTCTGTGCATCGATTCTAAACAAATTATTCTGACATGAGGTGACTGAATTAAGTACACTTAATATAAACTTTGTACACATGTATCCAAAAATATTGTCATTTGAAAACTTATAAGTTAGCTACACAGTGGTAAATATTGATAAAAGGGTATGTGAAAATCGTTGATTTTTATAGTTTATAGTTTACGTTGCAGACTATCCTACCAGAAACTGGAAAGTTGTGTTATCCTAGTGTGAGAGACTCCTCAATAGAGTGCATTCGGATGAACGAACACAGAATTCTACAGGTCTCGATACAAAGTAGCATGCATTGAATTCTTACAACAAAGCATATCAGTAATTAAATATTAATTTAAGTAACATCACTCAGATAAGTTCATGTTCCGTTCGACTACGGAATTAGAAAACTCTGATAATTAAGCAGTGTTCGTTTGAAAATTAGAATATTTTTGCATATATATATACAATATCAATCAAAACAAACAACTTACCATATTCATGAAACAAATCAAATAATTGATCTAAATCATTATATGTATCAAGATCTAAAAGAAATGTATGTAATTTCAAAATATCCATGATAGGGATTGGTTGTCGTTGTTGTTGTTGTTGAGTAGTATTATTTGGTGTAGTAGGAGGTGATGTAACGTCTACTCTAATACTTCCACGATTTGAATTATGTTGTGTTGATGATATAAACGACAATTGTTGTGATTCCGATTTAGGTGGTAACAAGTTCATTTCAGCTAAACGTTCACTAATTAATACCGATGAAATAAATTCCCATACACCCCAGAATGTAAGGCGTTTATCGTTCAGTTGATGTAGTAATTCAAGAATAGCTTCTGTTCGTTTCTGTTTTTCAGCAATTTCATCACGAGCTTTAGAAAATTCTTCAGCTAAAAATTAAATATATATATTTATGTATTATCATAATATTCACCAAAATTTGATATGAAGATGGTATATAGCATTAATTATGTGTATTTCAAGATGAGATGTCCGTCTATCAAACAAAAGAGGAATATACTGCTCAGCAGTATGCTTTGTCGATATAAAACATATCCCCAATCAATATATAATTTGAAATAGATGACTTCAAAAGGTTATATAAATATATATATATATTGAAATTACCAAGTGAGTGATCATACAGTTTATACATAAGGTATTAAGATGACAAAACAGTTGGTAAGGCAGTGAATCTTAATGATTAGATGTACTTGCATGCAGACTGTCTGTTTGAATCAGATGTGAAAACCGAGATCAGCAGTAAAAGATTTTGCGTGAAATGCTACAGATACTCATAATTTTCATCAAGACAAATTCTGTCATAGAAGTAGCAATAGTATTAGAGAGTTTATTTTAGCTTGTGATAAGTGATTGTTTGTTTGTATACCAATAAACCAAAGCAAACAATAACAATAAACCGATTGCATTTCACAAATACACAAAAAAGGAGTTGTAAGATAAAGAATGTAAACACTAAAATAAAAAAAAACTCATGTTGTTTAAATGAACATTTAAAAATATCCAAAAAAAAACTATCAGAATAGATAGTACGAAAAGATTGTAATATTATGATGGTCAGGGACAAAAACGATTATTTCTTCGACAAAGTTCTGTTTAATTCAGTTTCAAGCAATCTTCACTGACAACGCTTACAGAAAAGAAATAATAAGGCGAAAATAATTAGTTATAGTATACTTACATAAACTTTCAAAAGTATCCGTGTGTTCTCGCCACTGAGAGAAACCATCATTGAAAATAGTTTCCCATCTTGTCATCTCATCTACAGTTGCACAACGGAATAATGTTAAAGCGGTAGCGGAATGCAAAAGAATGTAGAAGCCGAATCTGGCCTTCTCCCCTGACTTTCGAAAATATCCATAAACTTGACCCCACCAAAGAATAGGAGGCTTGAGAAATGAATAAGAAAAAACACAGTATAGTTTATGAAAAGACATAGACAGACAGAATGTTGCTTAATCCCACATGATAAGTTGGATGCAAATGTTTGTCAGTTATCGTAAGTGTATTATTTATAGGGGGACTATATCTGGATCAATCAAGTCACCTGTAAATGCACAACCATTATGAACTTACTGACTGATTCACTTAACGAAACATGGCCTAATTCAGACTTTATCTTCTCGGTCAAGATGATAGGGTTGGCCAGACATTAAGAATGAGGATATTAAGTTAATTGGTTCGTTAGATCATCATGATTTCTAGTAACATGGGGTAGTTGGTGAATTTGAATGGTAGAAAAAACCAATTAATATCTAGTACAAATTCCTATTTTACACCAAAGACCATACAGATTTGGGAAAGCACAGTAGAAAATAATTGAAAATGTTTAATTTTCGTTTATTTTTCGGCAAACAATCTAAGTGCCTTACTTTTTGTATGGTCTACAATTCCCATATGGCTTTGATATCTGAACACCCATTGTAAGCCGCATTCAACAGGATTCTATGATAACACTGAAAGAAATTACTAGTGAATGCAACTGTCAATATTAACTGGCAGTTGAATACCAAATCAATCGAATCTTCAGGTCATAAATCTAGTGCTCATGTTTATGTTTAAACTAATATGTTAGAATCATTTAGGATAATGGTCTAGAGTTGGCATTGTAGGCTTTCCATGAGTTGTTGATAGTGTGATTTATAAAGTGAATCGATATAAAAAAAAGCTCTCAAGACTTTTCTAATCCGCGTCTCTAAAACTGACTTAAAATAATGTCGGCAACAGGTAATTAGAATTCAGTACGATACTACATTTAATATCACCGCAATTTCTGAAATGGCTGGACAAAAAGTCAGTATCCATCCTAAAAAGGATTGATGAAAAGATGTATCTGGCAGCTAGCTATATGAGCGAGAAATAAGCTGTACTGGGAAACATATGCACATTCAATCATCTACTTGAAGCCACATTTCCCAACTTATAGTATATCTCATTCCTTAAAATAAGAAACCAAATCAAAGCCAGTTTCATGAGTTTCCTATTTGGCCAAAATCGGAGTAACCTTTAGTATGTCTATAGGAAAATATGATAATCTTCTCTGATTATGAGCCAATATGCATTAAGTGGAGTTCAAAAAGTATACTCTACGTAGACTTTGCTCCGTAATACAGTTGAGAGCAGCAAGAGTCCCCTCTCCTTCTACATATGCTCTCGTATAGCCACACGTAAATAGCAACTGAAAGTAAAGTACTAATCACTGATTTCTCGTAACAGAGAAGTCTAGTGCTTGAACCAGTATTAACATTGCCACACTGCCTTTTCGATCAGACTTCTAAGTGAAAAGGTCATGAAGCGGCTTTCAAAGTAAAACACTTGCTTCTCTTTGGGTACACGGGTGGTATCACATCTCACATACTAATTCAGTGGTTTGTGCAGTATACATAAATTTTTTTGAATATGTGCTTGAATAAATAATTAAATAATAATTAGATCACAGTTTTGCGAAAAATCGATACATGAATGTTATGATCGTGCTATATTTTCAATGAATTAACAAAACTTCTGTTTTGATGAATCATTTAAACTGTTCTACATCATCAGGCACTAGTCACTCCTTCTGTTTGGTACAGTTTATTAGTGATTGAAGATAGCCAACGAACCCGTTGATCAGTTGAAGAAGTATGTGTACAGTTTGGACTTTCATTGATGATTGTGTTTATTTGAAGACGGCATTTATTCGAATATGCTCGTTATACAAAAAAAATATTATTATTAGTACGTTAGAACATTGACTCAGCATAATTCTACAAGAAGCTGGAAGTGAATGTAGAAGTTGGTTAAGCTAAAAAAAATGATAGTCCAATTGTTTTTCAGACCACATCAGTTTATTATTTTCAAATTATGCATATACACATCATTCTCCACCAAAACTATACTGTTATAAATACATGGTAAATGATTAGTGTCAAGAAGAAGAAAAAACAACTAACCATCTCTGTTCCACGAAATAATTGGTATCGATTCGAGTCCGGTATTTTTTGTAGCATAAAGAAGCAACTTTTCATTGCTACACCTTCTACTTCGTATGATGTACTACTCGCTTTTGTAGGAGAAAAACAGAGAGAAAAACACAACCATAAGATTTAAAATATTGACACATTATATAAAGTATTTTTACAGTTACTTCTTCATCAATAATAGTCGATCACATGAAATTGAATAAACTTGAAAATGTCAACTGACGATTAATAATAGGTGATCGATTCATATGAACCAAGTCAGAGTTTTATTTTAAATACATAGAAATATTTCCATCGGAAAAGTACGATAACACACATGATGACTGAACAAAGAAACTCAGCCGTAATAAATGATAAAACGTAAAAAAATAGAAGAAAATGTCAAAAACAACAACATATTGAGAATACCAAATATAGAAGAAAAACGACTTAAATTTGATTGACTATTAAATGGTAATGACTACTATCATTATTGGTTACCTAGTTTTCTTTGCGGTGAACTATCTTCGGGTGCTAGATAGTTGCAAATTGCTGGTGTTTAGCCTTGGATCTAGGTTTATGCTAGTTGACACATCAACAATGTTGAAAGAACTGATACAACCTATAAGAATCAAACTGATACGTCTCGAACTGTAAAGCGGCTGATGCTGGCGTTAACTCCACTGGTAGCATCAGTTTTCCTCAAGACTTTGCTGACGGATGTTTATAACACGGAGCGCAATCCTAAAGTATCCTACTGACTTACATTCAGTTACTTAACATCCGAAACGGCTACTGAAGCAAAAACAAACGCATATGACAAAAAATTACCGCCTACCAATAGAAACAGATTTGCAGTAAATAATTCTACGAATAAATAGTTCATTATTTTTAAATAACAACGATTGATGATTTAGCTTAAATAATTAAATGAGTAGTTTCGTAAGTAAACATTTTCTTGTCATAAGATAACATGGTGTTATAATTAACCAACAGACTGAACATTGAGGCTTATTGAATAAAATCAAATAATTGGATTCATTCTATAGGTCATTATATATTAATGCTGCTTCTATTTACATAAGAATTCACTATCATGTAACCGCCTGTCAAGTTTTATTACTATTAGTCATGCATGTTCAATGATAACAGTAAGGATATAAAATAAATATAAATAAATGTTTCATTATGAAGAATTCTATGGGGAACTTTTAAACAAACAAAAAAACATATTTAATATTATTTAACACTTTAGTTTCTGTAATATTTTGATGTAATAGATGTTGAAACTTTGAATAAATATAGATAATCTAGTATTTTTTTATTATGGCTGGAATCAAGGAGTATTTGAGATTTGTCAGATGAATGTACACCAACACATTATCAATGGAGCTGTTGAGTGTTTTATTGAGGTTTCGAATTAACTTGTTGTGATTATTCAAGGCTTACTTTGTAATTGGAATTTAAACGACTGTGAACATCGTATAACTGTTATGTTCATCACTTGGTACGCTTGAATCTATTACGAGTTCACCTTAGTCGATAAAACGCCAACAAGACAATTACCAGCGTCCAGTTAGGTTACCTTGAATCCCAAACTGAGAAACAGAAGACTTGGAAAGCGTAGAAAGTATATTCTACAAACACCCAGCAATCACAATACAATCAAGCACGCAACTCTCGTTTATTTATACATCATAGAAACGTCCTTGGGACAGTTACGAAAATAGCACACTAAAATACACAGCAGCCAATCACAGCCATGCATTTTCCTGGTGGGAAATGAAATCTCAAGGTCAACTGATCAGTCCATACTCGCAAAACGTGAAATCCAAAATAAGGCATTTATCAAGCGAGTTTTGGGGATCTAACATCCCAAACAATAACCATAATAATTGACAAATATGTGATTGAATGTCAAATTAATATACCAATATAATTGTGACTTGTACGTACTACTGTGTGATGAGAAACAAACACTTTTATCATATATTGTTAAGAAAAAAATTCAGAGTTGTTGAACAATTCAAAAGAGAGCAATATGTTTTGTTGGGAAAATAAAATCTAATTTCACAAGTGAATAGAGTTTGATGACTTTCAGAAAGCTTCTAGTATCTGTTATTTCATTAAAAATTAGATAAATAGATAATAAAAGTAAATGAAAGCATTTTACAACAAACTGATTGTTACAAAGTAGAAAAGACATCATTAAGATATATCGAAAAGTTAATTCAAAGATAACAAATTGTTACTTTGACGACTGAGTGTATCATTCAATAAGCAATTTATTACAAGGTGGGATAAAAACAGTGAAGAAAATGTATGTTTCGAAAAATAATCGTTTCAAACACTGTCAGTCACACTTTTCGGACATTTTTGTTCGAAAAAAATCACAGTGTCCATTATGGTTATAACAAATGAACATGAAAACAAATGATATATATATATGCGCTTTCTCACAAGGAAAGTAGACCAGTTCATAATTTTAACAGAGAATTCGTTTATTTATTGCATAAACTGTGATTTAGTTTAAAAACATTTCACTACTTAAAGGCTTCATTCGACAAAGTCGGATTAGAATCCTACAGTAAGGATGAGACTGGAAGCAGGCCTTACTGATATCACATGGTACCATAAAACCTAGATAGTTCAGTGTATTCTGGTAACCACTACTACCTGAAATTGATAATAGTTTGAAAATTCACACACTGGATAGAATGATACTTAACATTATTAGAAATTTGTATTTTCCAATGAGTGAAGAAAATGAAATTATTTTGAATAACCTGTCTAACCATTCTATTTTTAAAAAAATATACGAGAATATCTAGTTAAGTGAAAAGTACAAATCTAGACTGATGACTTAAGAGTAAATTTTCTAGAAGGCCATTTTGTAAGATTTTGACAGTGGTCAGTAATGAATACCGAAAGAAACTAACTTTATTAACTAGTATTATGATTTAAGTAATAATTATTACATTGTGAATTAATTGAAAGTTTGGCTTTGAATGTGATATACTTTGCGACTGACAGTTGAAAGACTTAATCACTAAATTCGTTTTCAACAACAAAGATACTAATAAATTGTAGATAGTAAAAAAAATATATGTATATACAATTATTTCTTTAATTACTAAATAAAGTTTACTATCGAAAAAATATAAATTATTTAGTGAATTCAACAAAGCTAGTGTAAAATGAAATGACATATAGGTGAAAACACAATTACTGATTGGTGTTAGTTATGATTATTTTTATTGGCATTTTATTATTACTGACTTGATGTGAAAAAGTTAGTCTCAGTCATACTATGTAGGCTTAGGAGTAATCCATCCTGCATCTTGTAAAGGTGAAATACCACAGAGACTTTTATCGAGGATACAATGTCTTTGGTTGATTGATGGATATTAAAATCTTATAAGAACAAAAAAGACATTTCTTATCACTATCAAGATAACGAATGATAACACTGCATATCAGTATTTGCAGTAAGTGTTAAACTACTTACGAGTAGTACAATGACTGACATGTAGTTTTTCAGACTCATTTTATATACTTATACATTACTAATTTTTATTAAAAAAAGAAATACAACACGGAGTTAGTTACTTTTGTAAAAGGTCACAAATGAAATGTGTAAAAATTATCAATAAAAATAAAAACTATGTATTAAATATATGAAAAAGAAAATTACATAGACTTAAATAAGCATGACTTGAGTGAGTTTTCTTTCATGGCCCTACAACCCAATAAAAGAAAGCGAACATTCATAATGATGACATTGATGAATAAAATAGAATAAAATGTAAACGACATGTAAAACTTCGATCGATGGATGACATAATCACAAAGTTGGTATCATACTATCAGAGATTAATGACAAATCTATGAATGCAAAATTCATGATTCATTTGAAAATATTGTCAAATCATAACTCTATAGAAACAATGAACAAACACGTGATACGCTCCCCAGCAAGGCACTTTCAGACTGAACATTTTTCGAATACAATTTCGTGCAGTGCCAATCAATTTAGAATTCTTATAATCCTAAGTTTGCATCCAATGGTTCACATTTTAAACATTAGTTAATTCACGATACTGTATATTTATAACTTGTTATCATAGATGACTGACACTGATCGATCATTTGAATGTATTATGGCCATAAGATAGTGGTTATTCTTCAATGATCTCAGTCTTAAAGCACAGCTGTAACTTTTAAGATTATGAAAGTGAGTGAAGCTGGTTTGAATTAACCGGAAGGTATCAGTCTGCCTAAGATTGACTCTAGGAGTTTTGACAATGAGTGTCAGTTAACGAAAAAACAAAAGTTTAGGATATTCTACCAATTATTTCGAACTTTCTAACATCGTAACCATAGGTTTATATGGACTAATTAAAGTCTATGAACTGGACTTAATTCCATGTGGATGAGCGAGAAAATACTAGAAACAAAACTTTTATTGGGAATCTAAAGAAAAGATGGATAACCATTGATATTATTTTCCAGCTCGATTATTCTTAATTTACAAGTGTATTCAGTTAATTAATCATAAATAAACTTATTGTTCAATTAATTCAGTGTTTTTCTATTCTATTCTATTCTTTTATTATTATTATTATTATCGTGAGAATAAAAAAGAACACTAGCAAAGTGGAACAAGTGAGACAACTCTATGCGATGAAACATGACTAGTTATTTTATAGTCAGGCAATAATATACTAGGCATATAATAAACGAGTAAGTATGTGTACACACACTCAAATATAAACTAGTCGATACTGTTGTGGAATTATTATTCAAGCGATTAATCATAAAAAGCTAATGTATGTATGCAAGATGCTATACACGCTTTGAAAGACTCATATGCATAAAAACTACACGATTTTCAGTGAAATAATCCAAGTATTTGGGATGCTGTGCTATGCCGAGTGAATCGAATATAATAATCACCGAAGCTTGGATGATGACTTCACTTTCCGACTCAAAGGCTGAAAATAGAGAAAGGAATGTGAAGAGACGGACTAATTTGAATGTAGCTAACGCTAATACAATTGTATCAATGAGATCATATAATTGCTGAATACTAAGAACGCTAGGTTATTATGGTCAGAATAAAAGATGTGGGTTAAAAAAAGTTATAAACGCAAATCCAATCGGTAGATTTTAGCACGTGATATCGATCAGGTATTAGAGGACAATAAATAGCGTTGCAATGAACATGAGAGAATTTAACATATGAGCTCTTTCACTTCTTGTATGTAATCATTTATAAATAAAAAAAATCAAGCTATAAGAATCTTACTGTGAATCAAGTAAGTTGATATTAGTTAGCTAAGCAGCAATAATAATAATAATAACTGTAATAATAATAATAACCCTTTAATATAGTACTTACACTGTTGTCCACTGCCGAAAACCATTGGATTAACATATAGTGGTCCATGGTTAAGTAACTTTGCATTGGGTGCTTTCAATTCATTAAGCAATTGCAGTTCGTCCGATGGTGACGTCATTGTTGTGCTACTTGTACTAGGCACATCTAAATTCATGGCGAATTCTCTCAACTTTCCAGTATATTCAAATTCTGTTAATATGGCCTCAGCAGATTTTAGTATTGATCTAACTGCATTACGAGAAATTTCTAAATTTGTCACCTCTTTATCATCATCTTGATTAATTGTTGAAAAATAAATTTCAATTGCAAGAAAAATTGAATAATGAATTCCAAGAATAAAAACAAAAACAAAAACACTGTGTACTTTATTATTCATTATTTGAAAGCCTATATGCATTCCGGTTAATGATGCTATGAATAATCAATCAATGAGTTACTTATGGAACATATGTCATCTTAAGTAGATCATCTCATTGTAATTATTTATTCACTAATAAAAATGTATTAAACTTCGCCATAATGCATAAGTCAGTTGCTGTCTAGACTCAGTAGCTAAGAGGATAACGCGATGGCGTTTGAAGCGAACGGTACTGGGTTTAAGTTCTAGAGTGAACACCGACACTCAGATGCATGCACATCCAGCTAACGAAGCCCAAAAAGGAGGAAACATGCGACCTGGAATCTACTGGAAACGATTATCCACCTCTGTTAATAAATGCTTGAAATATTTATCAGGTGCTTACGAAAAGGAAGTGTTATATTCCGTCAGCTTCAAACTCTTTCTCAATTTACTGTTTATATCTTCTGAGCGTTTCATTTACATCATATCGATGTATTCTTTGAATCGCTCAGGTCTGTCTTCGTTTAGCGTATGCATTATAAGTGATATATTTTGATCTAATTCCCTTAGTTTTGAGTTGATTTCATTCAGGTGAAAAAAATAAGTTACAAATATTCGACTTAATGATCGACATTTTCGAAACATTTCAGTTTTCGCATTTGTATAGTGAGTTTAGAGTAGCGTAGGAAGTATAAATCGTAAATAAACCATGTTATGAATCACAAAAAAAATAAACTATTATTGGGGATGCTAGATCCCCGGAAATTGCTTGGTAAACTTCTATTTTGTAATTTATCTTCAGAAATTTGAATTTAGTATTTTCGCGCTAAAAGCGACCCTTATTACCTTCAGTTGGTGTTAACCTAAAACATTGTAGAAATTACTGTTGAATTGAACGCTAGTTAATTCGTTCGCTTATAGGTGCTTGTGGGTTATACATTCTTTCTGCTCACTTCAGACTTTTTGCTTTAGTTGGTTGGGCTGGAACGCAAAACACATTTTGTGTCACTGGTTATCGTTTCCTTCACGGATATCAAGTTGTAACCTAATTGACACAAGCATAGCAATTACACATAGAAACGAAAGCGAATATGATTCTGAGAATTAAAGTAATGAAGAGAAAGTGTGTAATTACATGATCAATACATCGTTGATTGAATTGCATAATTATGGAATTATATTAAAACACTTACTTAATGTATTTCGAATAATTGATTCAAGTAAAGTTTCTACTTTGGTCCAACGTTGTACAATCACCATATAACAATCTTCTAAAGATTTACGTGAACTACGAGGATTCTGTTTCACTTGCTGTTTATAAAATTCAAGTAGATGTTAAACGATAGGAATGAAAATATATGACAGAAAAAAAAACTGTATCAATAATTCTACGTCTACGTCTGAACACAGTCGGTGGTAAAACTCATTCTCCGACGATAATGATAATATTATATATATTTAGTTAACATATATCAATGAAAACTATCTTTAAATTAATAAGTGCGCTGTAAGTTCAAATCGAATTCAATCTCTAAAATCAAGATAAATACAATAAGTTGGCAGTTTATTAGATTTAGTTTAAAGAAATTTAGATAAGCCTCCAGATCTGACCAAACAATGTGAACAGATAGGCGTATCGACTGAATATTCACTTAGTAGAAGACTTTTGCTGACTTGAAACTAAGCATCTTGCGGTTTAATAATTTTTTGACAACAACATCATAAAACGAAACCATTTGATGTCAACAAATAGAGTGAATGAAATATTACTGCGGAACAACAGCATTCAAAAACAATTCGAATTGCGTTGTTAAAAATAAATGCGAAGTTCCTCATTCTTTGTGTAAAAGATAAAATAAAAACAGCTATGGTTATAGGAGAATTATTATAGACAAAGTCGAAAGACATGTGAACAACTCGGGAAGAATGGATTAATTTACTCAAAACTAGGATAAGCCATGTAGGCGTGACATATTAGTACACACTACAAAAGTTTCTCAACTATGAGGAAGGGCGAGAGCTGGAAACATTCGGAATATTCATAAACCCTACTGGATTCGAAAAACAGAGAAGAATTAGAATAAGAACTTTTTTCGAAATATTCGCTGGTCTTTTCATGGATTAAATCACGAATTGATCTTAGTTAGACCGTTATTGGAAATCTGAAAGTGCTGGATAGCTATTTCGACCTCATATGGAACTCTACAGAAGTTTGCACCCAGCATATCTTGGGGAATTGAACCCTGGACCTTTGATCTCGGCGGCAAATGTTTAGACTGTAGACTACTAAGCCACGGTCCAACATTACAGCTTCAAACGTTACTGCGTGTGATATTTGGTGGGATAGCAGACGCGCATTCCTAATCAGTACCATGCTAGGATGAAACAGATATTTGGTGCTTCGTGGTTTTCAGTAATTGTGTGACGATCAGTGTTTGAAGGAAGCTATAAAAATTAAGCAATCACTACGGGGCTCTGTTCGGTTCAAACCTAATACTATTAACACGTAGAAATTTGTTGTATACGCTCATATTAAAAATTTAAAAGTTTATCTATCCACTCAGATATACACAAATAAACGGACGGTTGTCCCATCCTCAATCTGAATGATATGCAATTGGTACGATAAGGTGCGTTTTGATCGTACAAATAACTAGATGTGTTTAGTTATTTATTTTCTGAGCCATCAAACGTGAGGTATATATTTATTTACTTATTAAGATATTAAGAAGAAACTATTATATCACTATAAAACAATCTCCCGACCGTAGCTGCTAATTGGCATGGTGGTAGCGCTTGCTTATCGTGATGACCCAAACGAGCTATATCGGCTGGAACATATGTTTCTTTCTTTACAAACAATCTATTCAATGGTTAATCTCTTAAAAATTATGAAAACAAATCATGGTAATGGTATATTGAATTTGAGATCATTTAAGTATTATTGGTGATATAGTAAAATGCTACTAATCTGTCAAATGTGAGTTTTCGACTGACACTCTTGATTGAAGTCGCTAACGATATTTAGCAGTGAATGAGAATGTTTAACAACACCTCCTGGAGCACCTCTGGGGTTACTGATGCTCTCAGGCCCAGAAGAAAGGAGTGTAAGACATGAAGCGAGAGTCAGTCAGATGCAACGTAGAACTTCGTACGTAAGTACATCAGTTCATGTTGCCATACCACATCAGCACACAGATGTAATTGTCAATTCAAATCCAATAGTAGAAGAGGTAGTAAGGGTATTAGAAGTAATCGGAGAGGTTAGGATGAGAAGATATTATTCAAGAAGTATGATTTATTGAGGAAAGTTTAGAAAGTCCAAACTAGAGGGGTTGAAGAATCCAGAAGATTAGGATTTGAGAGAACACAGAGAATAAATGCGCCCGCGCCATTGCAAACGGTTTTGAGCCATGACATTCAGGGTCTCTAACCATCGATTATGATCATCTCGCGGACCCCAACCAGGTAGTCGACAACTACCGACATGGCTAAGTCCACTCGTCAATGACTTCATGGATTTCTGCCGTTTTTTGGTTTGGCCGCCCCTAGCAAACCTAATAAAGATTCAACATGACAACATATTAAGTTGTATTGAATATGTATGTTAAACCTCGAGTGTACATTGAAATACTTAATTTTATTATCACTTAAATATTATTAAATGAAAAATAAAAATACCTATTCAGGTATCAGTGGCACTGACATAATGATCGATAATTTATTTTTATCACACACCTACTTTCTAGACAAACGAGAACATGGGAGCAGTCGCTAAGTGTACTATGTGCATAATTTAGTGTTCTTTGAACAGTAGAAATGGTAGGTAAGTAGATCATTATGTAATTTCAGTTTTGAGAATAAAAGCTGCATCACCTGATGATGTAATAGTTATCATAAGTATAAACCTTAGTAAAACAAAGTGATGAGCATAAATTGTGTATATTTATTCAGATAATAAAGAGTACAAGTATATTTGACAGTGGATTAAATGTGAAGAAAAAAAGGATGTCAACATTCACCAGGTTGTATATTATAATGACACTAATGCTTATCTTTCCCACAAATGACCTGGTACAGGTGAGAGTAGAGAGGGAAACACTTGACTGTTGTTAAACCGATCTACAGTCACTATTATGACATTGCCTTCAGATCTTAAGCTGCTGCTTTTAGATTGACCGTTCTTTAACCAACCTATCTGGAATAGTGAGACGTAAAGGGAAATGTGTTCCACATTGCAAGTATGACTGCTACAGACGCTGCTACTTGTTTTAACAAATCACTGAAGTAGATAGAGCAAAGTCGGAATACGAGACGTATTTTGGGCACTACATAATCATTAAAATATTATTCTAGAAGATAAACATCGTACACATTTATAGAGCGCCCTTCGCAATAATTATATTTTCTTCATATGCATAGAATAAAAATGTGTTTTTTACGACTGACATAGTGAAAGTTTATCAATCTGATTAAAATACTATCGATAATTAAAAAAAAAATCATCAAAATTACAAACACTAACAACAGTAAGCATCATTCGGTATTAAGTGATAAGTTTTTTTTTCCAGCAACATATTAATCGATAAATATATAATCATGATTTATTACAAATTAAAAACTCATAAAATAAAAATATCATATATCTATCTATTCATTATAATTATGGGGAGAAGAAAATTTTATTTTCTAAATTCTTAATTGAATTTTATCTAGAAACAAACAAACAATGAAACAACATAAAGAATATTTTCATGAATACAACGAGACGAGTCCACTTTATTTTATGGATAGAGACACACATACATACATACATACATACACACACAGATTCGAGATGAACTGTAAATAGGTAGATGGAAAAGAGTAGAAATTTAGCAATGACGCCAAAGAATGACTTGATTTCTTTTTCCGAGAAAAAAAAAGAACAAGCATATTTTAATCTAAAAATTTAAAGAAATATTTGAATTAATTGAAATAGTCTGCAACGTTTTCACTGTTCAACAGACGTACTGATTTAAGAATTTTCTGTTATCATTAATCTTGTCCACTTAGTGAGTGAGTGAGTGACTGTTGCACATTTTAAACGACCAAAGTGATCCTTAAGTGTAAACTGTAAATAACTGAATAAACTAATGTGGTATACGAAGAATACTAATATGATCAAATTAGGTGGGGGGGGGGGGGTTTGAAACGAATCCTCCAAGTCAAAAATTACACTAATATTGAGCATCCATTAACAAGATTAACGAAAAAGTGATTGAAAATATCTAGTACAAACGCTAATTGAACAAAAGAACAATGAAGATGACATCCGTGTTATATTTCGCAAATCAGGTGAATAATGTTACTTATAATTTGTAGAAACACACATCATCATCATCATCATCATCATCATCATCATGCATATATTACATCGCATGATTTCTTTTAGATCAAATTTTTTAAACTTTCTTCACAGTACACTCAGATAATGATTATTAAATAGTGAATATATATCCTTGAAGATGATAAATACAATCGATTGTATTGACTTGATTGGCTTTCTACCATTAATTCGAATGACATAATCATAATAAATTGATGTGTCAGCTATTTGAAGGTCAACTATAAGTACTATGTTGTCATTAAGATTTTTGTTAATTTTCGAATGCTGCCTTCCAATCCAAGCAGATTTACGGTGTGAAGATAGAGGTAAAAAGCTAAACTTCACGAGACCTTATAAGGTGTACGGTTGAAACGATTGCTGATAGTTACGCCATACTTAGATTTTACGTGGTTAGAGGTATTAGTTATATTTTAACTTGATCGACAGAATCCAACCGACTAGACTAATGTCATAATTTTCACCACTCGCTAATCAATGAATTGTAAATACATCAGTCCTACAGGCTCAATTTAGGTTCGAGTAGCTCGGACTATGGATTTTGGTGACTTCGGTTCGAATTATGGATGAAGTGCCTGCTTCCTCAAGGTTCCAGGTACCCTTTCTTGACAAGAAGCGGACATTATGATTTTCAGCAGACTACATGCAAAGTTTTAACGTCTGAAAATACATTAATATCCCTCTATCTATCTAGAAATATCGGCTTATATATGAAAAGTATTAACAAAAAGATTCTAAAATACTTTTCCAATAAAAATGTGAACATACCTGGAAAAATGCTGCGATTTGTGGGTGATTTTTACAGGCTAGCAAACGTTGACGAATACGTTTTTGTGAATATAGAAAGTGACCATATAACTTAGATAAGGTTGAAAGACTATCTGCATCAAACTGAAAGAAAAAGAGTTAAAACAGAAACCGACATTTAAAAATGTTAAACTGAAGTACCAACATAAGGAATGGATATCTGTCGACACTCTTGAAAAAAATTCAAGGGAGAGACAAGAAGGCAACGATCAACGTTGGCCTAACAAGAGCAAAGAAAGCCAAGCCACAATCTGAATACACAGAAGCAAACAAGCTAGTGAAGAGGAACATCAGAGCCGACAAACGTAAATATGTGGAAGATCTAGCAATGATGGAGGAAAAGGCTGCAAGAGAAAGAAACATGAGACAATTGTACAATACAACAAAGAAGCTACCTGGAAATTACCGTAGACCAGAACGACCAGTGAAAAGCAAGGAAGGCAAAGTAATCAGCAACACTGAAGAACCGCGAAGCAGGTGGGTAGAACATTTTAAGGATCACTGAAGGCACCAAACATCGAAGCAGCGTCCACGGATCTCTCAACCAATGTTGGCTCACCAATAATTAAAGAGATCAGCATGCCCATTAGACAAATCAAGAGTGGCAAAGCAGCGGGACCAGAGAACATCCTAGCAAAGGCACTGAAAGCAGGCGTGTCAGCAACGCCAAAAATACTCCACATTCTCTTCAACAAGATCTGGTATGAAGAACAAGTACCAACAGACTGTAAATAATGATGCCTGAACAAAATACCAAAGAAAGGAGATCTCGAAAAGTGTGAGAACTACAGAGGCATCATTCTTCTCTCAATACCAGGCAAAGTCTTCAACAGGGTGTAGTTAAACAGAACAAAGACTTCGCGGACGCCCAACTTCGAGACCGACAAGCTGGATTCCGTAAGGATCGGTTGTGTACCGACCGAATTGCGACATTACGGGTCATTGTGGAACAATCAACTGCATCAAACTCACCACTCTACATCAACTTCACTACCTACGAGAAAGCATATAACAGTGTAGATAGGACAACATAATGTAGGCTTCTTCGACGCTATGTTGTATCTGAGAAGATAGTCAACATCATAAGGAATTTTTAGGATGGATTAAACTGCAAAATCGTGCACGGAGGTCAGCTGGCAGACTCGTTAGAGGTTAAGACCGGTATCAGGCAAGGTTACTTACTCTAACCATTCCTCTTTCTCCTGGTGACCGAGTGGATTATGAAGACGGCCACGTCTGGAAAGAAGCACAGAATAAAGTGGACAGCCAGGACGCAGCTGGACGATCTGGCTTTTCTATCGCACACCTAACAACAAACGCAAGAGAAGACGACCAGTGTAGCAGCAGCCTCTGCAGCAGTAGGGCTCAACATACATAAAGGAAAAAGCAAAACTCTCCGATGCAACACAACATGTACCAACCAAATCACTCTTGATGGAGATGCTTTGGAGGACGTTGACACTTTTGCATATCTTGGCAGCATCATCGACAACCAAGGCGGATTCGATGCAGATGTGAGGGCGCGGATCGGCAAACCAAGGGCTGTATTTCTAAATAATAAACAACATCTGCAACCCAAAACAACTATCAATCAACAACAAAATCAAACTTTTCAATACAAATGTCAAGAAAGTTCTACTGTATGGAGCAGAAACCTGGAAAACTACCACAGCCATCATTCGCAAGATACAAGTATTTATCAACAGTTATCTACGCAAAATACGTCGGATCTTATGGCCAGAAACCATCAGCAACAATCTACTGTGGGACAGAACAAACCAGGTTCTGGTGGAGGAGGAAATCAAGAAGAAGCGGTGGAAATGCATAAAACACGCATTGAGGAAAGCACCCAACTGCGTCACAACACAAATCCTCACTTGGAACCCTCAAGGTCAAAGAAAAAGAGGGAGCCCAAGAAACACATTACACCTAGAAATAGAGAAGGATATAAGTGGAATGAACAAAAATTGGACAGAACTGTCAAGGAAGACTAGGACAGAGTAGGTTGGAGAGTGCTGGTCGACGACCTCTGCTCTAGTAGACGTAACAGGCTTGATTAAGTAAGTAAGTAAGTATTATCAGGTTTACAGAATAAATATCAACTCTGAAACCGTAATTTATATTATCCAGTTTTTTATTCTAGTCAGACAAAGTTAATACTCAATTATCAGCACAATCTGGTTCAGTTTTAAAACAGACAAAGAAAATATTTCAGACAGATGAATATTTTTTTGAAAACTATAGAACACACAAAGCAAGTAGAAAATAGAAACAATAAGCTAATGAGATGCTGACGTTTACAGTTTATTCAATGCAACAACAATTCACCTAAATAATCTATGGAAGACTTCATTGGTATTTAATCAGTGAGAAGTCAAATCATTGTTATTTGTTCTATTCATAACATTTGTGCAACTACTGATGCCAACGAATGTTGTATGAAAAATCAAGAAATTGTACGATGAAGATTATTACTCAACTTATTGAGTTGTGAAACAGTCTGAAAAGAGCCTACCTCGAGTGTTACTCTGAGTTTCATGCATGAGAAAAAACACAGTTGGGCGTGGGGTTAGCAACCTCGTATTAGCTAACCACCGAAACCATGTAGTCGTAAGATCATATCAATTGAGACAGAGTAAAAAATAGTTGAACAATAAAACAGGGAATTCAGTCTAAGCTACTAATCAATAAAATAGTTACTATATAAAGTGGTTTCAAAATTCGTAGAAGTATGTAATTGACCAGCTTCAAATAAGTAACTTGCAAAAATACAAACGCGTAATCGTTTTTGTCGCAATTATGTTAGTTACATTTTTTGTTTTATTTACCACCTTCTGTTGATTTCTGCATTGTTTATACGTGAAGTGAAACAATGCTATTAGGTGACAAAAACCCCAAGAAGAGCTTAGGTTATCTAGTTCTTTTCAAATGATAATCCTGACGAAATTTTTCTAAATCCTGGTTATGCAATAATCAATGTTAGCTGATTAGTTGTCAACGCCTTTAGTTTGCTAATTTAGGTATGTGTACCAGGGTTATGAGATGTGATCATTTAAAAATCGTTTTTACTTTCTGACTTCTGTACAGAATAAGGTTATCCTAAAAATTCCAGCTCTTTTACCTCATATTAGCGTGTAGATTAATAACATTGAAGTGCTGTTGTGCATCCAAATTTCCTGTTTATTGAGTACATATTGATTCGTCTTTGTATTAGAAGAGCCCCAAATGTTGGTAGATAGAATTTAATATGAGCCAATAGGAAACCTCAATACGTAATCATATTAACAACGATATAACATCTAGCACTAATAATGTAAGTCACAAAAGTAAATGCAGAAACAATGGTTTAATTTAAAGGATATATTTCTAAATATAAGGTTGAAACTCACTAAGTGCATCAAATAAGATCCCAATGAGGGTATAACATGATCTTCACGATCTAAATGTAAACCGGCCATAACACGAAATATTCTTTCATGAGATGTAACCAGCTCATTAATACACGGGAATAAAGCTGTACATAAATCTGTGTTTCCTAATAAATTATCTGTAGATAAACCATTGACTGAATTAATATCGATTTTCGGGAAAGGTTTCATATACAAATCTCTAACAATGAGCAGCATATCTATATATCCACGTTCAGAAAATACGAGTTCTGTAAAATAAATAATTAAACGAAAGTTGAATGAATCGCATGAGATAAACGTCAACAGTTAACGAGCCGCGTTATCAGACATTGAGCAGAATAGAAGCTAATGGCAATTCTTCTACAATTTCCTTATGCTAGGCTGTATAAAAGCAATAGGAAACTCATTCAATGAGAGGATTCGTTTTGATTGTCTATTTCTAGCTAACAGGTAGACAGACATCATTAACAGATATGCAGTGGCTCAAGTTGTTATGGATGATAAGCACAACCAGATGCAGATAACACAAAAGATCAAACTAATAAAAGGTCAATGATAAAAAAGATTAAACCTAAGGAAGATGATTGTCAAGGAGGAGTTTCGTACTCTCAGATGATTGGTTTGGTTGTGGAGCTTTCATTGTTATTCTGACCAATATCATCAGCACAAACTTCAGGTAGAAGTGAAGTATTCAAATTTTCCCACACATATGCATTTCCACTTGAAGTCCGGGCTAGTGATGTTCAGAAAAGCAATCAAAACTACACAACCAAACCATCCAGATCACAGAACCAAACTCCACCTGAGCTACAAATTTTCCCTATCATCTGAAAATATGATTGTATAAGAAAAAGTGGAAACAAAAACGCTGAAATTCGAAATTTAAAGATGAAACGCTAATGAATCTGTGCGATTGTAAACGGTTCTGAGCCATGTCAAACCAAAATCTCTAATCATTGCTTACGGTTATCACGGGCACAGCAACTAGAAACTCTGCACCCACCAACATGGCTAAGAACAACAGTTAGTGCCTTTAAGTAGTGCTACATTTTCAAGTCGGTCTTGTGTGTTATTAGGGGAGAATTTTCACCAGTTGATGTGGTTGGGATATGTGCTACATATGCCCAATCACCAGCTATCTCGACAAGCGATGTTATCTGATGTGGGAGTAAGCTGGAAAAAACTAGATATGTCCAAATCAAATAATGACATCAGTACATGTAGTCACTGATGGTTGTACTGAGCCACGTTAATAGGTAAAGACTACCTGGTTGATGTGCACGTGATTATCGTAACCGGTGGTTGGAAATTTTAAATGACAAGGCTCAAAAGCATTCGCTGTGGTGCAGATGCATCCATCCTTTGTCTTCCCCCAAATTCTAATCTACTGAATTCCTTATCACCTTTCTTCTATTTTTAAATTTAATTCACTGTGATATATTTCTCAAATCATATCTTCAAACCCTAATCTTTTTCATTACTACTAAAACAGCTACATCCGCTACTACTAGGGGATTTGAATCGACTATTCTGTGGTATGGCAACTTGAACTGATATAAGTCTGCACCAAATCTACGTTGAATCCGACTCACTGACTGCATACTACGTCTTCTTTTGGTCGTTTTTAGTCCTACGTCAATCTATTTCTGAATAAGTAAACATCACCCCTCAAGGTAGGCAGTAGCTAGGCATACATAACCCATATGCTAACCACCTCAGTCAAGTAAAATCCTCGATTTCATTAATCGAATAGCCCCTTTCGCAAGCACCTTCTCACTGAACCCAACACGGCTTACTTGGTCATCCCATGATATTATCTAGACTGCCAGTGAAAACCTGGAGGCATAGGGCGGCCGTTTCATCCGAGTATGGGACTTCTCAGCAGTATACATAACCTGATCAGTTCACTTCTTAAATTATTGGAAATTTTAACCTTCATAAACCACCCCCCCCATACTAAAAATAAGTATTTCTAAATAAAATAGAACGGCCACACCCATTTTGATTTAATCAAATTATTAACTAGTGAATTGAACAAAACAATTTGAAATTTATTATTTACTTATTATTTATTTATTGAGCAAATATATATGAGCAAAGAAGTAAGACAGCTAATTTAACATTTGTAATAATCTATCAAAAGTAACAAACTATGCAAAGAAATTCAATAAGTGCACTTAGATCAACTTTACAATGGACAGTATCGACAATAAACATTGTTTACAGTTGCCTGTTAAAAAATCTCGTAGACTTAGCCAATCATTTGAATATATTCGTGAAATTTAACCAACACCATTTTATGGTGTGCACTATTTACCAATTGATAATTATTCACCAAAACACGTTGAATCAACAATCAAAATGATGAGAAAACAAGGTACATCTGTTGTTCTACACGTCCAGTTTTCAAACAAATAATAACAACACTTTTCATTATTTCAGGTTATAATAATACTGAACGGGAAGTTTTCTCTTGGGTAATTATACATTACAAAGACACGTCAGTTGGAATCACAAAAACGATTTTCGAGTTTGCATGTCAACTTCGAAATCGAGTGATTATTATTTTTCATCATAGTAAGTGATAGGAGAAATCCGTCTATCTGTATGATGTGCAGAATGCTTAAAATTTTTAAACAAAATTTGCTTTGTAATGTCACAATGGAAATGACAACATTAGACATATCCAATGCACTTGTTTTTAGGCACATATTTTACACAGCAAGTGAATGAATCACTTCCTGATGCAACTTACTTTATTTATGATAAATTTACAAAGACAAATTATTTTATTAATGGTAATCTAAATAAAAGGCATGAGCTAGTTAAATGAGAATGCTAAGTTAGATAAATAGCTTTATATACGACCTTTTCATATCAATACAGCGGAAATGACCATTATCCTCATGATTTCATAGCTTTTCACTAGAACTCAGACAATTTCCTCAAGAAGCTAGTTACTAGGAAGCACATTTTATGTCCCATACTAGGACTGAACGGCGTCTAGTGCTACAAGGTTTCCAGTGAAGGTCTAACAATGATCGATTCAACATCCCCAATCCAACACAACAATCTATATAACTCTATCATGAAAAAGAATCATGGAAATAAACAATAGCTAGAGTATTAGAAACGAGAAAGCTGACTGGAAAACAATGTACATAATTGACTAATATATTATGATTTATAACTGGTAGTAATATGCAATATCTAAGCAAAACTCACCCCATATATTATCATTTCGATTAATAAAAGTTGGTGAATATTTCTTTTTATTTTCTGGACCACAATATCCAAGCCAGCTTGGAAATTGTTGTAAATAGTTTGTTTGATCTATTAGTTCATAAATGGAAACAGAGGAATCTGCGAATCCTCTAATCTTTTCATTTATACACGATTCTTCATCTTCATTAGATTCTCTGTAACGTTACCAATGAACAAGATTTAATTCATGGATATTACATTGTGTAGACTAAGCAAACAAACCATGATATTATCAAATATCAGTAAAATGACACAAACAAATATCAGAATAGTTAACGGATAATAAGTTTGTATAAGAAAAATACACATCTACAAACAGCATGCCTAATTTGGTGTATGGAAGTACCTGAGTTTGACAACAGCATATAAGTCGTACAACTATTCAAAGCATTCAAATAACTGTTTTGTTGTATGTAGTATGGGCCAGCTCAACATTGCCTAATGCACAATCACAATTTTATTTATACTACATAAAAACAACCTGTCATACTTTTGTTACATCCGTCATGTGACATGTTTGTGTCATTATGATTCAGAACACAATCAGATAGATAGATAGATAGATAGACAGATAGTTATGAAATTTATCACCAGGCAATGATTAATCAACTACTGATATATCCTACAATAAGCCAATGAATCAGTGGTTACATCTTAGGCTATATGATCAACATTCAAACCACCTGTGAGCCATAGCTTACATACCTTGTTTGTAACAACTTAGTAAGCTTTAAACTTAGGATGATGAAGCTTTTGGGTACATATTTGTTCAATGTAGACCTGCAATAAAGACTAGTGGTGTGACGATATACTCGGACCGAGATAGTCAAAATTTATATATTTATATATATATATATATATGTATATATATATATATATATATGATATAGGTGACACACATTGTACAGCATCTTTTAACAAATATTAAAGAATGTTCTGTGAAAAAAGCGAAAATGATAGTGACAACAAATCAATGGACATGAATCATAAGAGAAGGAAAATTAATGTCAACCTGCTTTCATGTATGAGATATAAAAACAATGATTAGAATTATAGTACAATGAAAGACTAGATATGCTATGTTTACATATAGGAGTTTAGGCTTGAATCATTCAATGTAGCTCCGATAATGAAACGATTTCTTTTTTATCAATATTACATTGGAGTTAATTTTCTGAAAAAGGGATAATTTTGAAATAGAAATCTGGTGGAGCCGTGTCCATAGAATAGACAAAAATGTTCAATAATATAGTTTTTGATTAGTTTGTACGATCCTTTCAACAATCAGGTGGAGGAGTAATCTGACATGATTTTCAAAATTGTTCATTTAATGGAGATATAGTTGAAGTATTGTTGGGGATGTTAGATGCCCAAAACTCGTCTGATAAATGCCTTACTTTGGATTGCACGTTTGCGAGCATGAGCTGATCAGTTGACTTTGAGGTTTCATTTCGCACCAGGAAAATCCATGGCTGTGATTGGCTGCTGTGTATTTTAGTGTGCTATTTTCTTAATTGTCTCAAGGACGTTTCTATGTTGTATAAATAAACGAGAGTTGTATGCTCGATTGTACTGTGATTGATGGGTGTTTGTAGAATATACTTTCTACGCTTACAAAGCCTTCTGTCTTCACCTTGGGATTCAAGGTAGCCTATCTGGACGCTGGTAATTGTCTCGTTCGCGTTTATCGACTAAGGTGAACTCGTAGTAGCTTCAAGCGTACCTAGTGACGAACTTATCAAGTATACAACATTTTTTTTGATAATGTAAACCATTTCTTTCATCGCTACCATGATTCCACGATGAAGTAAACAAGCAGGTATAAATTTCGTGAAAATGAATTTACAGTTCTATGTTAATTCAAAAAAACTGAACTTCTTTTAGTTTTCTTCAATGGGTCTCTGTTGTGTTAGTTAAGCATTGATGCGTTTATTTATACCATACACAAACATTAGTAGTAAACACATGACTTATTATCCAAACACACACACATATCTAGTGAATTAGAGGTTTGAAAAAAATCTCAGCATCATCATCATCATTAGTTTAGTTGTTAATTTTGATGATTGAATTATCTTTTAATGTGTTTATCATAATATCATGTGCATTTGATGATTTTCATTTTGTGGAATAATAATTACAGGTAGGAGGTCACTTAATCAAACGAATACCGGAGAAGAAATGAACATACCAATTGTATGCAGTTTAGAATAGAATTAAAAACTTAATCTATCTAGATTACCTACACAGAGAGAATTGAAATGAACTAGGAGAGAATACAATGTCAAATGGAAGACATAAGATCAAAATAGCAACATCATTATGGATAATAGAAATGAAGATTAACACCATGATAGTAGGTGGAAATGATCACAAGGATTAGGCTTGAATTGATAGATAGCTATGACCTATATCAGTATGTAGGTTTTACATTTACATTCTTTTCGAAAGGATTTTCTCTATCTATATCGATGATTTTGACAGAATATAGAAAACATATCAATATACACAATAATTATTGAAGAAGAACGAACGAATTTGCAAGGTAAAAAGTACAAAGCACCATTAAAACTCAAAACCCAAGGGAAGTTAAAGAGTGTGAATAAATCTGTACCAATATACTTGATTCTGAGACAAATCTCATCCAACATCCCCAATCAGTAGTTACAATAATTGTGAAGTAAAAATAGATTAGGAAAAAAAAGGATAGGGTACAAGAAATATTAAAAGTAATAGTAATAGATTGACATTTTAATAGTGAATTTGCATGGAGAATTCAGCTTGTCAAATGCCTAACATGTATTTGTTTTTAAATAATTAATTAACACCACTGTGGCACAATCAACGGTGATATAACTTTGCTTAATAAAGATTTCCAAAAAGTAAACACTAGCCAATATATAACTAAAAGCGACTATTATATTAAAGCAGTAGTTTAAAATCCAAATCACAGAAGTAGTTAAGATCAGAATCATGGTATTAACTTCAATGGCTAGATCAACAGATAGATCTCAGTTAAACAGCTGGTACTCAAAATTTATTTCGTTCTAGTATGAAACTGGTTAGAATTTATCTAGAATAGAAAGTGCAACCTTCAATGTTTCATGATAAACATCTGATATTCAGACCATTAAGTCAACAGTCAATAGTTTACATTTATAAATTCCAATTTACAATACTGCACAACAATCTCATACAACTAGTGAGATATACATCTATAATGTATGCAAATATAAAATGTTTTACTCACATATCAGAATCTTGACTGGAGGTAGCATGATCACCAGTGTCAGTGGCTTTTAATGGACTCTATAAGGATGATGAAATAGGAAACATCAAGAAAACAAATGAGGAAGTCTTTTGTGAACAAGTCGGAAATGACAATGATAATAATTCGATATATATATATATATTCACTCTGATATCATTGTTGCACAACTAATTTTTTTTTCAAATTTATAATATACTGATATAAATCATCAATATAATTGATGCCAAATACTGAAATTAATTATTACAATTTACCATCAGGTAGACGTAAGTACTATTCGTTACATGAAGTTGCATTAGTATTTGCATGAACATATACAAAAACAGATCAGATTATTGACATATGATTTATTTTGTGTATTTTTATAGAACAATATTTTTCATTTATTTATGTTGATAAACCCACACAGAGACGCACACACACACACACACATATTTGAACAATATGATTGTTCCACAAGCTTATTTGAATAAGTTCAATAGATTTTATGAATTATTCGTTGAAAATTCACTGTTGAATCAATAATTAAATATTCCTAACCTTCACGATTATTATTATTATTAGTCAGTTTAAAATTTAATCAACAAACTGTTGGCTTAGTTAATCAGGTTAGTAATGTTGTTGCATCCACTCCAGACAAATACTTGATTCCTCGATTAAAGTTAGTCTTTCTCAACTCAATGAGAATGGTGGTCAGTCAATAGTGTAGTTTAGTAAGAATAAATACACTATTTCCATTTGTAGTCACTGAAAAGGACCAAGTTTCAACGAAAATTTGTGGCTGATGGAAATCAAAAATATTGAGAGTGAAACGGTTGTTACTTATGGCTACATTGTGAATTAATTGAAGTTGGAATTGTACCATTGAAAGTCGATTCACTGATTCTAATGGTTAAGTGTTCTATTCTTAGTACAGTCGTGAGTGTGTACTGAAGAGTCCTATATTAGGGGTGATACAACTACTGTGTAGTGTTACATTTAATGGTACACCAACTGACCAATATCACCTAGATCTCTTGAATTAAAGTCACAAAATGAGATGAAGCGAATAAGTAAGTAGTAGTAATTCAATTAAATGATTTACTTATTAATTAATTAATTAATTTAAAAAGTTCCAAAGTCACTTTGAGTACGTGGATTGAAGTGAATCAGAATGATAGTTCTACGTTTTTATATGATTATGTGATCATGAATCATATCTGATAGTTAGACTTGTATTATCTTATTAAATTTTTACCCAAAAATATGATTTAATCGTCAAGCTAGTTAACATTCAACTACTACAACAAGGTCATTAGTTTGACCTTTGTTCTATTTTGGTACAATAGTAGATCTACGATAAAAGCAAGATGAATGTTTATTGAGACATAATATAATTTATTTGCTTTTTCAGGCATAACATTCTACTGTTCTGAAAACTTCCAAGTCGATAGATAACCTTGTGTTTCAATAATAGAATTGAAGAATTAATTTAATATGAATGAAATAACTATTGAATATTAAACATTCAAAAAACATTTAAAGAAGAAATATAATTCATTCATTTAATTGCAAAATAAAAAAAAAAAACATGCTTTCTTTATTTTTGTAAATGCACACTTACTGGGGCTGAACAGCAAATTGAATATTGAGAACCAGTCAATAATTTTTTTTACCGTTGAGTAACATTGTAAACCGCATGGATGGATGTCACAAGATAATATGAAAGTGAATAGTTAACAACAAACAAGACAAAAATATGAAATAAAATGTAATCAAAATTATGAATATTACTAATTTTACTTTTTAAGAAAAAAGATCAACACTAACAACTAAAAGACATATCTCTAAAATTCTAATTTTATTAGATTAGAGTATTGACCGATATGTTACTTGTTTCGATTAGTGTGCAACAAATGGAGTACGTTAATAGTATATTCTAATAGAGTATTTCGCCGTACTTTTATTGAGTTCTAGGTTACGTAGTTTTGAAAGTCCGATATAACCAATTATCATGTACTCACTAGTGAATAGCTCCGTGAGGAAATTCCCGGAGTTCTAATGAGAAGCCGTGACCTGTGAAATCCAAGTGAGTCAGGTACGAGACAGTTACCCACCAAATACAATGAATAAGGTTGAGCATTATCAAGGATTGATTGAAGTTAGACATTAACACCGTTCGATTACAGTTCAGTGATCTAACAATGATCAGTTTATGATTTCAATGAAAAACTACTTAGTTTCAAAAATATCTATCCATAAACCACGTTATAATAGCAAACTACTTAAAACTATAAGTTTCTTCCTGTAAATCTTCACTAAAATATACTAAATTAGTCGGTGGCACTCCATAGACTGAAGTGTTTTTAGACATATGTTACATTTGCATAAGTACCGTTTACCTCGATAAGCCACGTTTTCCGGTGTAGCAGTAGGTTGGAAAAAAGTGGCACAACCAAGACAGGACATTAGTTCATGAAGTCATTGACTATTTGTCTGAGTTATATTGGCATATGCACATTATCTGGTTAAGGTGTGTGTGATAACAGTAATCAGTGGTTAGAGACTTAGGGAAATAGCTTAGGATCGTTCATAATGATGCACAAACCTTCATTCTGCACCTTGAATTCCAAACTCTTCAACTATATCTTTTTGAACTACATTCTGTATGTTTCGTCTTTCTCACCATAATTGCTACTACATCATTTCGATCTTTTTAAATAATCATCCTTTTATATACACCTAGTTGTGCTGATTGGACACATATTTGTACCAGGCTCTATGTTAATGCTGAATTAAAGCAGACAATTCAGATGAGGTATAATCATACATCCCTCTAAAAACAGTGCATGAAATACACTAGTACAGTTAAATCATTCTTAAATGTAAAATAATAATAGCCTGAGATATGCTGACAATCAGTAATTAAAAACACTACTTGAAAAGCAAGTCAGAATAAATGCAGTACTATGCTGCATTTCTTTTACAATTCGAAACTATGCAGTTTATATCACGCCCAAGTGATGTTACATCATGTGTACTACGTTGAAGGTTGCCGACAAGAAATACTGTTAGGTCATGACTTCATGTTATTCAGCAATCGGTCAGCAAATCATATCTGTAGTCTTCACGGAAATGATTCATCGTATGAGATCCAAACCGGTAAACCAGCTTCATAGCCTGAGACACTGTCATTTAGATATTTAGACCATGACTAAAACATTGCAAGAGATATGAAATTTAAGTCCAGGTTATGCCTGTGATTACCTCGAATCACTAAACATGAATAAGTAGTATATGATGATATCTTAAAGGTAATAATAAACTTAGATAGTATTAATTAAAAGTATGATATTGAATCAATCCTCAAGAGAGAAAACAAATGAAACAGCTCGAAATAAGTGATAGTAAAGATCGTTGAACAAACATTTTTACTATCTTATAGCCGACACAAAAATTTAAGACGGACTAGTTGACTAGCTTGTACTGCCATAAGATTGATGTTTCGATAATAATAACAATAATTATTATTATCGTTGTTTATTAACTTTAAATTTCACTCATTTATAATGATTTTAGTGATTATTGAATATGTATGAGCTGATTTCAAAATAAGTATAGTTAATAATAGGCACAGAGTTACACTTACGTCTGCCTTGCTGACATGATGCTGGATTTGATCTAACCGTAATTACTCTGACTGTATTCATTGTGCTTGAGTTAACCTAAAAAAAACATCAAAACGAAAGTGAATCAGGTTCGGAAACGTAATAAGATTTTCAGTAAAGGGTTGTGGACATAGTCAAGTTTCATTAGAATCATGAGTCAGTCAATGTTAGACCAGCGTTAGAAACCTCAATTCACTGGACAACTGTCAAGTCCTAGTACGAGACTCATCAGCAGTGCGCATCAAAGACCCTCCCAAGCACGAATCGAACCCAGGACCTTCGGTCTCGTTCACGAAAACTTAACCTATGGGTTACTGAGCGGGCATCCAACGGTGTCAATGTCTAACTTCAATCGATTCCTGATATTGCGCAACCTCACCCACTGTCTTCGGCAGTTACTGACTACATCCGACAGGGTTGGACTCCATTGGTTACAACTTCTTACTAGAATTCGAAGAAACTTCCTCACGGGGCACATGACAAATCCCATTAAAAGGTTGTGGAGATTGTTGAATAACAAGAGACAAAATATGCATTAGCAATATGAGACTTTTGTGGTCTGTAATGTAATTCACATACAACATACACTTTACGAGGTATACAAAACCCAAAAAATGAAACCATTGTTAAATAAGCAGGAGCATTAAATCACCCAGTCGAATTATAATCTATGTAAACGGTACGTATATCTACGATTATCCTTCCAGCTCAGAGGACATGTGGACTGAAAGCTAGACTAAGTCCCCTGACAGACTTCATCCATGAAATTGACTCATTAGTAATTTCTCACCAACTATTTAACTCTGATGTGGTTTGATAACAAATAAACAAAATATCCCTATATTTGTTCAGTCTATTAGAGAACTGTGAGAACATCCAATACTAAAGAGATTGCCACCGCTCACACTAGCACAATGAAAACAAGATCAGGATGTGAAAGGCAAGAAAGAGGAGGTGATGGTAACACATTAAGTAGAATAAAAAAATATATGCTTTCGAAAATGCGACAAGGAACTTATGAAAATACAATGTTCAAGAATTAGAAACTCTGTATAATTGAGACCGTTCGCAAGCAATATCACCTAAAGTCTCTTAATATTAATTGGTCTAACCACTCAAATCATAGTCAGAAATCTTTCAACCTACTAAAAAATATGAGACAAAAGCTAGATGACTTTATAGATTAAAGCTAAGATTTTATTGTTAACAATCTTATTCGCCTTCTTTTACTACTTTTTATGTTAATCATAGTCAGTCAAGCAATAACAACGTAGAACTTCGTGCGTACGTACATCAGTTCATGTTGCCATACCACATTAGTACAGAGAGACGCAATTGTCAATTCAAATCCCATAGTGGTAGAGGCAGTAGGAGTACTAGCGTAATGAAGAAGATTAGGGTTCGAAAATATTATTCAGGAAGTATAATCCAATGAAATAGATGTTAAAAAAGAGAAAGATAAAGGTGTTGAAGAATTCAGAAGATTAGGATTTGATAGAAGCTAAAGAATGGATTCACCAGAGTTATTGCAAACGATTTTGATCCATGTCAGTCAAAGTCTGTAGCCACCGGTTACTATTTTTTCGTAGGTCTCAACCAGATAGTCTGAATCTACCAACACAGCTTAGTCCAGTTGACGTTCATAACAATAGCTTATCTAATCTAAGTGATGACTTTTGATAGCATTGTACTTTGATATTAACTAATAATAAAGATTGTATTTAAGTACGCAAAGTATGTTGAAAAATACTACACATGGTAAGAACTATAAATACTATCGTTCAATTAGAGTGGCAGTGTTCATAAATGAACCTGCACGAGCACATATTAACTATTAGTAATAGAGGTTTGAATTATTAAGCTATTGATGATGAAATGCTGATCAATCTCTGTTGGCATATATGCATCTTGCGTGAAATTTTAAGATTTAGTCATTATGTAAGTTGTTTTTTTTTGTTAACAGATGGAATTATAGGCAATGGGAATCAAGACGCATATTTCGTCCTATTTGGAACTGATAAAACAAGATCTACTAGGATGTGCATCGTGGTAATCACATATATATTAAATGTAGTAAAATTAAGCTTGTAACATATGATATTTCATTTCACGCCTTGCTACAGGTTCACAGTATTAAAACAGTAAATCAATATATATATACATATGTTAGTCGCGATTACAAATGTTTGTTAGTATATGAATGATTTCATTATGACCTCAAGTGTATATTTTAATTTTGCATAAATACACTTCTTCAATAGATAATAATCACAACACAAGAATTTCATTTTAACATCTAACACGTAATAGTCTTTCTAGATAATGATGATGTCTACAGTACACATAGATATTTGTTAATATCAAGGTTACTATCAATAAATAAATAGATAAGTTCACTATGACAAACTACCAAATAAATTTATTTCAATGCATGAAGTGAAACTACAACAAGATTCTGGAGAAAAATAGAAGGCAGAAAGGAAATCATTTAAAAAGAGACAATGGAAAAGTAATTTATCGAGAACAGATGTAGAATACTTTTGGAACATGTTCAAAAAAAAGAACAAAAAGCTGTTTTGCATGGAGTGACAGCAGGGAAGCCTAATGATCTCACAATAGAATGATTTTAACTGTTTGCAAGGATCCAAAATTCTAGACAATTTCAAGTGTTACCTATTACATACTTGAAACCTTTTCACCACACAACTAATGATATCATCAAGATATTCCCATATACATCAGGCAGAAAAGATAAACTGACGGGTTTTACTAATGCATTTCAAAACATAGTCACTGATAAAAAGGAGGAAAGTATGAACACTAAATTAGGAGTTTTGATAAGGAAAGTTCATCAACAGGAATTGTACAGAATACTAAATGATTGAGATAAATATGCATCAACATATGTTCCATTTGGGTGTAAAAGTATAGTGGAATAATACAAACCCTGGTCAAATGATGAAGTCTAGCCAAATTATAAATTCATGGAGAAATCAGAAGAAATACTAGTTGCGAATTGTTTGACAGATCTGGAATCGTTGATCTATTTGAACAGTACATCTAATGAATACATCACTGGTTGTCGTATATTTCCAATACATTCTATCTCTATGCCTAATGTTTTAGTTTGAGTTTGGGAAGGATAAGAAGCTGAATGATCTATGAAAGTGATAATAACACATTTTTTAATTTTGTGTTATGCGGGATAAGCAGTAGATCATTTATTGTTAGAGTTGAACAATGTACAATACAACGATAATAAAGCAAATGACTATCAACTGAGACAAAGTACAATTTACGTGTTACGTACTATTGATCACTGGGTATATATATATATATATATATATATATATATATATATATATATATAGAGAGAGAGAGAGAGAGAGAGAGAAAGAGCACAAAAATCAAACACACGCACGTACATATTGAGTATGCAACCAAAATATGATTGGTTTAAAAACGAAATCAATTGATTGGCATATATTAAAGATTAAACATATCATATTTTAAATTGAGCAGATTTTCAGTAGCAAACAAAAGTTGCTTTATAACCCTATTTGATTAGCTGAAAAGTATTAATACGTAGTTATTCAAATTTTCATTGACAATAAATACTTCAATCTTAATATGATGTTTTATTAAGACATGCTAAATTGCAAATATGAATGATTAAATGTACATAAATTAAAAGTGAATGCTCATACATCCGCATATTCTGAACTTTAAAATAACAGAATAAGTTAAGACAATTGTTTATAAGTTATGAAATAGATATACTGTCTTCTAAAAGATCGATTGCTTTTTATCATGTGATACATAGTTATCAAAATTAGTGTTTTTTTTCGCACTAGTAAATGCCAGTTTAACTACTAAGCAAGTTATTTAGGGATAAAAATAATAATAAGAAGAAGAAACCGTTACGGTGACTGATAGAATAAAATATAATCACAGTTCTTGTCATAAAAATTATCAGGCGGAAGAATAACACTAAGAATAACAGAAATAAATGTATGCATTGCACTTACAAACAGAAGTTTATCAAGGTTCGTATTACGATCGATATTGTATGTATTACACTTCAATACAAAAAAAAAAATAAAATAATACACATCGAACAAATTCAAACGATCGGGATATAATGAAGAAAAGTGAGGTTATGTTTCATTCTGTTATACAACATTTTATAAGTTGAACTTTCATTGTCATTTCGAATATAATTGTATCAACGTGTATTAAAATCAAAATAAAGAATAGTTTGTGTGTTTAGATTTCGTTTTAACACCTTAGTCTGATCTTATTGATTGATATGAAAAATAATTTTGAAATTGACTAGAAATTATCCAAAAAACCTGTCTGATATTTTTATTCATGATGGATCAATAACAACAAATTTTCTAACTAACTAACTAACTAAGAATTTATTTACCTCATCACACATTCTTCAAATTATACAAAATTTAGTAGCAATATTGTTAGTGATGTTTATCTATAAAAGAGAGAAATAAATGAATATAACAACTGTTAGTGAAATGTTTGAAGAAAGAAAAACCACATTAAAACAAGTGATGCAGTTCAATGATTACGGATTTCATTTGTGACCATTAGGTCTTGCTGTTGAGCTCATAGAGTTTTTACATCTAAGATTCATTATATTATCTCCTAAACCGGATCGTCGTAAAATATCTGACCATTAAATCTTGTTCAAATAGTTACATTAACACTCTATAAATGAAAAACTTATGTAAAAGATAATGAAAATTAAATAGAAGGACTCCGATAACGTTTGAATTACTACATTTAGAATATTTAATCACTTCAGCACTACGATTATGAAATACTTTTTGTATACAATTAGCAAGAGTATATAAGTCAGGGCTTTGTGATACATGTCGGTTGTTTAGCAGGAGAAAACTGATAACTACTGAATTATTTGGCCTGATAAAAAATCAACAGACACTTCGTGTGGTTAGAAAATAGCCAAAACTTCAGATACCATACAAAAGCAAAATAACTTAGCTATTAGTTGTAAAAATGTGCAAGTTAAACTGTAGAAGTAGAGAGAGTACCAAACCAAATCATAAACGCTGAATACTGGTCTGAACTATATATAGGAAAGTCAATTATTTTAGTATCAATGTAAACTACGAAAACTACCACTTTTCGAAAGCCTATATAATAGTCAGTTATTTGTTTAGTTCTATTCACGTTTATTAAGTGACTGACCAAATGATCGAGTTATATTTGTAGTTGATTAGGCTGGAGTAACTGGCCTTGCAATTTTATTCAAGTTTACTTTACACATGGCCGGTATGAGGAGAAGATATTTGTGAGTTGCTGGTTTTCGATCATAGGTGTCTCCGAAGCATTGCTCGAATATCCTGGGACAACCGAGTAAGCAATGCTGTTGTTAGGAACCGAGTACTAGGTAGGCGTCTAAAATTCTAGGCCATATCATTCAAAATCTCCATCCATAAGTTGCGATTGTCTTGCGATGGCAAATCAATAGATGGAGTATTGAAACTTCATCAGTTGAGGTGGTTGGGACATGTGTTACGTATGCCCAACCACTGATAGCCTCGACCAGCTATGTTTGGTGGTGTAAGAGTAGGTTGAAAGAAAGCTAGGGGTGGCCAAGCCAAAACATGACACAAATCCATGAAGTCACTGACAGGTGGACTGAGTCTTGTTGGTAGATGTAGGCTACCTGGTTGGGGTCCGCGAGATGAAAGTCACCGATGGCTAGAGACCTTGAACGACATGGCTTAAAATCGTTTGCAACGGCGCAGGTGCATCCACTCTTTGTGTTCTCTCTGATTCTAACCTTCTGCATTCCACATCATCTCCAACTTTCTTTTTCTAACTTTATCTCACTGAATTATACCCTAATCTTTTCCATTACTGTTAATACTCTACTATCGCTACCACTATTGGATTTGAACTGACAGTTGCGTCTATGTGCTAATGCGGTATGGCAACCTGAACTGATGCACATACGCACGAAGTTCTGTGTTTTATCTGACTGTATATCTCTAGGACCTGACGTAGTGTGAATATCTGGTCTATACAGCCACGTCCAGGTAGGAAACAAGCCTGGTTTTCTCGAGTCTGATCTTCATCAGCTCTAGTTAGGCGTCGGCGTTTACTGAAGTCAATATCTTAAACACTATATTATTTAAGCTGGTTCTTCTGTGATTGCCACAAGAGGACTTTGGTCGTTTCTTATAGACAGGATTATGCCCAGTTCTCAGATTTTACCTAAGATCTCGGTCAATCCAACTGATGAAACTGGACCATCGTCCTTAAAAATATCAGGGATAAGCCTGTCAGGGCTTGAGCAAGAGGATGGGCGTACACAGGTTAGCTCAAATAGCACCAAGCATATTCACTTTGTTAACTAGTTAGAACGGAAGCATTGTATGGATAAAAGTTAACTAAAATCTGTAACTATACTAAAGGTCAGGTGTTTATCTTAGGCATTGCCAGATACGTAACTGTATCATACATAACATAATAGAGGTGAAATTTAATTTACCGAAAGATACTAATGGTCTATGGGCACCACGTTTGCCAGAAGATCAGGTTATCAAAGAATTGATAACAATAAAAAAATCTAAATTTCGATTATTGGTCAATGCAGAACACTATTTATGACCCTAAAATTTCTGTTTGTTATTGCTGCCTTCTTCGTTATGATGGTTTGTAATTCAAGTGAAATGTGAACATATTTGTGCTTACAACACCATTACTAATTTCAAACCCAAACCAGTATAAATCACCGGACAACAAAAAAGGAATGAGGGAAATAGATAAACTAGGCACTCTGAACCAGACTTGAAAAACGAAATCTCTAGTCACACGGTTGGGTAGACATTTGGAAATTACATTTCTGTGGAATTAATTATTTATTGAAAGAACGACGTACAGTACAATTTTCATTTGAGGAAGAAACCAGACAACGGGAATAAAATTAAACAAGTAATATCTGAAACTCAACACAAGTGTAAACCGAAGGTCGCTAGATAAACTTGCAACTGAATATTCAATTACAGCAAAATCAACGGCTAATGATACGTTTTGACCAAACATGTAGATTGAAATTTTTAATATTTTGGCTAGACAGTTTTAGCCTTGTTACTTTAGTCAACTTTTGTAGCATAGCAAAATCCCGGAGATCGTAGAACTTGAACAGGTATTTGTACACTGCTAAGTCAATTTTGGCAGAAAACTAGGTACTACCCTTCTCAAACCTATTAAATTTAAATAGTAGTCGGAGGTCGGGAGATAAAAAAGGCATGAAACTCATACCACATCACAGTGGCATTACCTACCACGGAAAGTCGCTATATAACACGTGAAAACAATTAACAATTACAACTTTCTACTGAAAACAGAGTCAAATATGAATTGTAGATAACCACAGCTGCGAAATCTCATTGCAAAACGACACAGCCTCGTCTAGAGTTGGAAACCCGAAATATGAAGTTGTGGAGATTTGGATGCTTAATGAAAGTTTTTAGACTATTCACTCATTTGTTTCATTCACCCCATAACACACTCAAAATTTCGGAAGCTCTTATTCTGAGACAAGAATAAACTAGCAACATTTCTACCTCATACACCAAAACTATTATTTAAAACAAAAATCCACTTCACAGGAAATGGAGATGAAATTAGTAGATCTGAATCGATTTAAAGCGAAATGATTTTTGCCACCTTAAGATGTGTACTCTATTTTAACGAATCGAAATTTATTGTTATGCCAAATCAATTGGGGTTAATGTTACAAAAACTTTTCACTTAGTCTTAGTTATGAAAGAAGTCTGCTTGAAGTGCTGTCAAGGCATAGCGCATCCCGACGATTTATATATGGGGCATCAGCGATAAGGCCATAATCAAAAGATACAAATTACGGGAGACCCACTTGTTCATGAAGCAGGAAAATTCGACATGTGAGAGACTACGACACAAACAATTATGATCTATCAAGTAGAGAATTTTTCGAAATGTCTGTTACGTGAATACAAGTATACCACAAACGTCTAAGTTTCAATTTTATAAATAATCACTAGTTTGGGGCGAATGAATGCATCGAAAAGATAACGAGGCTAAGTAAGTTTCGATCATACACCAAACACTTCAAAATTGACATGCGGTTTAGGTCAATTTAGTGCCAACTTCAAAAGCTTAATCGCTTTGTGAATATGGGATTATTAGTTAATAGATGCATGCACATAAAACGTTTTGAATTCATGCAATACAATGAATATCATTCTTTTTACCTATGGCCAATTAGTGTGTCACGCAGTTTAAGGCACAAGGATTCTTTAGAACTAATTTGAATATACATGGTCAGCACTGATTATACAGAGATTGAAAACACCAACCAACAACAATACTTACACAAACTCATGTTGCCCGCGACAAACTAACCTTTACTTCCTCATGACCTAAAAAATTGAATTTACTGAACAACGAGCAACCAATACCTCTTTTATGAGCCGGTATAAATCAATTGATTTCTTTGTGCTCGATTCTTGATTATTCAGTAGGGTTCCATGTATTTGGAAGTAGTAACTCTCAAGTGCTCTGATTCTAGTCAGTTAGTAGTTGTTTATAAATTTGTATGTCACCTGATTTGCATGAGTACGTTTGTTTCAGGGTATCAGGGTTCCTGGATATAAGCAGCCATCACATTACAAGGCTAAAGATCAGTTAGTTGCAATGCTGATCTGTCTTTCCCAAACCCGTGTTGTGATTCAAAGAGTATGTTGTTCATATCCGTGTACTACCGATTTGTTCATGTCCTTCCAATACCTCCAGCAGTAATGTAAGTAATGCGACTAATATGTAACAGGCTGTATACTTACGATCTCCCCTCTGGAAAGTTGGAGAGAGATTAGTGTTTTTCCATTCAACTAGAAGCTGGTTTACTTCAGTGAATTCTAGAACTGGTCACATATCGATGATATGAAGACTTCTGCACACGGTTGTAGGACTGTGGGACGAATCTTGTCACATCAGTGTGACTTTTCTGGGAACAGGTACTATGTCAATCTGGGCATCATGATTGACGAGCAAGGAGATCCGATGCAGAAGTAAAGGCACAGATCGGCAAAGCAACGGATGCATTTCTGAAAAGTGAACAACATCTGCAACTCCAAACAACTATCAATCAACAACAAAATCAAACTTTTCAATACAAATGTCAAGACAGTTCTACTGTATAGAGCAGAAATCTGGAAAATTACCACAACCATCATTCGCAAGATACAAGTGTTTATCAACAGTTATCTACGCGAAATACGTCGGATCTAATGGCCAGAAACCATCAGCAACAACTTACTGTGGGACAGAACAAACCAGATTCTGGTGGAGGAGGAAATCAAGAAGAAGCGGTGGAAATGCATAAAACACGCATTGAGGAAAGCACCCAACTGCGTCACAACACAAATCCTCACTTGGAACCCTCAACGTCAAACGAAAAGAGGAAGCACAAGAAACATACTGCACGCAGAAATAGAGAAGGATATGAGAAGAATGAACAAAAATTGGACAGAACTGCAAAGGGAAGTCCAGGACAGAGTAGGGTGGAGAACACTGGTCGGCCGCCTGTGTTTCAGTGAGGGTAACAAGAGTAAGTATTTCGGATATTTACTATACCACCATCTCCACTTCGAAAGGACAGTATGTAACTGAAAATACTTTGACTTGTGAATTTTCTCACTGTCGAACTCACCCGTTTATATGTATACTTTTAGGTAAATTTACAGAGATAGTTGTGGACACTTTAATGAATAAATCAGTAATGCACATGCTTTTGTCCTTACGAGGTAAAATGACATTTGCCAGTCTTCAAATATAATATTGCAATTTAAATATATTAACAAATGGCTACAGGAACGCGAGACGGTAGTTTCGTGCGTACCTCGTGAGCCTGCAATCTCGTCCGAAGTTCAAGGGAGGTTTGGTCGACTGATCTGAACGTCAGACCAGAGTCTAATCAGTAGATAGTGTAGATGGCGCGTGCTGTTGACTGGGACGTGAGATTGAGGTCTCTGATCTATGTAGCATGATGTCCAAAGTAAGTGTTGGGGTCCTGCTAGTAGGTATGACTTGTCTAGCATTAGGTCTCGAGTTAACCGGTGAGGCACTATCATCCACGTGTGCGGGCTTGAGACCATAAATGCTGTCTACATCGACGTGGCCATGTCAAGCAACCTCGAGGGTCTTTTCATGACGAGAAATCAAATGTAAAGCTCCTTCGTAAGGCTGTTGCAGAGGTTTGCGTACTGAATCGACTCGAACGAAAACATGTGAGCAGGTAGACAAATCTCGAGGGAGAGCGACCTGTCGATGTTGTATTTGAGTTGACACCGGAGGCAGTTTTCGCATAAATGCAGACAATCCTTTGACGTGGTCTGATTTATTTAGGTTATTAATGCTCCGTGGTATGAAAAATTCCCGGTGCAGATACCGTATACCAGTTCAGCGGAGGAACATTGAATATCTGTCTTTCAGCTCGCTCTGACACCTAAGAAGAAGAGCGGTAAGGTTTCGTACCAATGGTTGTTTTCGTGTGCTCGTAACCTTTCAACTAAACCATTTGAAGCTGGGTGGTAGGCGGTAGCGCGTATGCGCGTCGTTCCAAGTAGACGCGTTAATGAGGAAAATAATTCAGACTCGAACTGCTGTCCTCGGTCAGTTGTGACAGTCGAGTGACAACCGTAAGGCGCTATCCATCGTTCTACGAGGTGGCGAGCAACTGCCTCCACCGTAACAGAAGTGATGGAAATAGCTTCGGGCCATCTTGTGAAACTATCGATGCACGTAAGTATTTGATCATACCCATACAATGGTGACAATGGTCCTCCAAGCCGATATGAACATGATCGAAGCGAGCATCACGTGTAGCGAATGTTCCAGTAGGGACGGCTACGTGCCTAAGCACCTTTGATCGCTGACATTATAAGCATTGCTTTACCCACATACGGACATCTTTATTCATGGATGGCCAGACGTATCGTGCAGCAATGAGACAATCCATGAAGGGCATCGACGATAAACAGTGGGTAAGATGGGTCGGGGTAGACCAGTAGAGATATCACATAGTATACTGCCTGAGCTAGTAGCTAGGAGTACTTCCTGACACTGAAGGGATGTACATTGTTATGCTTCTGTACAGGAGGGACCATTTAATTGAGCAGCAGCCATAGCAGGAAGACGAAGTACCGATAAAGTAACTGCATCCACTTGGATACGTGACAGAGCATCAGCAACATAGTTCGACTAGCCTTTAATATGACTAAGGTCTGTCGTGAACTGAGAGATGTAGTCCAAATGTCTGGACTCTCGTGGTGAACATCGGTCTGACTTGGAATGCAGAGCATACGTTAGAGGCTTATGGTCGTTAAAAAGGATAAAGTTACGACCTTCTACTGCGTGCCGGAAACGTTTGATGGTACAGTAGGCTGATAGTAGCTCTCGACCAAAAGCTCTTTATCTTGTCTCGGTTGGAGTAAGGTGTTGTGAGAAAAATTCGAGAGGTTGTCAACTTCCAAAGATGTTGTGTTGCATAGCAAAATCTGATGCATCAACCGCTATAATAAGTGGGACTAATGGGTCAGGATAGGCGAGGAGTGTGGTTTGAGAAAAAGCTCCAGTTCCTTGAGTGAGGACGGTACAGTGTACTCCATGATTGTAGGTACTTTATCTTCACATGGTAGAATGCCCTCATGCTTAATTACGTGACCCAAGAACCTTATTTCTGCCTTGCCTAGTTCACACTTGTCTGGGTTAACTACTATTCCATTATCCGAATGGATTAGTAAATCATCAATATAGACGTGAAAAAAATCGTAGTCTCGTACTATGCTAGTGTGAGCAGCATTCCGTAATCCAAATGTCATTCGTAGAAACTCAAAGAGACCGAAAGGAGTCATGATAGCAGTTTTCTCGATATCCTCAAGAGCGACTGGGGCCCAATGATATGCTCGTACGAGATCAATCTTGGAATGAACAGTCGCGCCCTTGAGTGATGCCGTGATTTCGTGTATGTGGGGGGTGGGATAACTATCGAAATGTGTTTCTTCATTTAATGCTCGGTATTCTCCACATGGTCACCAACTTTTCTCATCTCTTTTGTGAACCATGTGGAGTGGTGAGGTCCAGGGACTGTGAGAATGGGAATAATACCAGTAGCTAGTCAACTGTCAAACTCACGTCTAGCGAAAGCTAATTTGTCCGGTACCAGTCGGCTAGGTCGTGCCGTGACTGGTGGTCCGCGGGTGACGATGTGGTGTACCAATGAATTCTCCTCGAGTGGTTTAGTTAGCTGGGGGAATATGTCGATTTAAGTGTGGAATATGTCATCACATGAATGAAATACATCTTTGATACGCTACGAGTTCGTTTGTGGTCAAAAGCCAATGGATTTACTGTTCGACGAAATATCGATTAGCTGCAGCCTACGTGAATCGAATAGCAATTCAAAGTGCTGTGGGAAATCGATACCAGGTATAGCTGTGGGAACATCGGCAGTGACGAGCGTCCACAGATGCTGTCGTCGGTTGCTCAGGCTGACCGTCAGCTGTCGTGTGCCATAGGTGAGGATGACAGAGCCATTCGCAACGCGTAGTCCAAGCATCGTAGGTTGGGACTTACTACCACCAAGTGATACGACAGGAATTTAAGCATCTACTCGCCAGCTCGGGAGTTTCCCACCTTGCGTGAGCAGGGGGCTCGACAACTGCAGGCACCGGACCTAAGAGTATGGAACCAGAACAAACCGATACTCTCTTCCGGAGCCGTCTTCGGCGCTGATTGGAAGGTGCCCGCTTGTGTCGAGTACTTGCAGTCTTGCTTGCTCGTGATAGGGGTCGGAGGACGCGGGGTCCTGGAATAAATGAACGGTCCCCAAATTTTTGAAGGCTGTGAATATAGAAACCCTGATCTCCTTGAGCCTGGGGGCGACAAGGTCTACCTTCGTACGTGAAGTGGAGGCAACCATGTAATTGTCTCACTAGCTACAACTTTGTGTGCTATGAGAGCAAACTGGTTAATTGGCGTGTCCCCGAGCAGAGCAGTGACCGTAGGCTGAATGTGTGCTAGCAGGGATTCCAGCCTTAGTTCTATGACTATTTCAGAGTCGGCCGTCATAGGTCATGCCAACGAGTGCAGGCGCGTGAGGTGGTGGTTTGGCCTAGCATCGCCCAGGAGGTGACGTGCTAACAAGTTCCCCAATCGTTCCTCCCTCGATGGAAGGGAATGTCTGAAAATCGCCCTTTTCGTTGATCGTAGATGTCTGGTGCATGAGAATTGGGGACTACCTCACGGGCAGCAGCAACATAGTCCCCAGGTAAGGATTCCAGAGCTTTGGAATACATTTGCCACTGGTTCGTGATGCGGCGGATGTCGAATTGAGCCTCTA